ACTGACAGCCAGTGTCATGTTATTACAGGAGCTTGATTTTCAGGTGCTCCCGCTGCTTGCACTATGGATGCTGAAGATGCCCTTTTTGGGGTGAGGTCCCATCTCTTGGTTCTGAGGAATTCTACTAACAGCCCATCATCTGGACACTGTCACAGTGGGGGTTTCCATAAGGGACAATGTGGGAGTGATGGGGTGTTATTACCCCCCTCTGTAGCGCGTTAACCAGACTCAGGCATTTAAGCAGCTCTGTCCAAATGTTCAGGAAGTTTAAAAACATTATCATAATTACTTCGAGATGTATCCAAATGAACTATAAACAAAACTGAAAGCATATCCAATGTATCAACTAACTATAACAATAAATAAAAAACATACAGTGAACATCCAAAAGTGTAATGTCCAAATAATAATTAGACTTGCTTAGACTCACACGTCACAATATATTATAATGACAAAGAGCCAAAATATAAATTGTAATAATACATTCAAAATAGGTATAGGCAAAAATAACGACAGACTGGTATCTGGTGCATAATTATAAAAATAATAAACTATATAATAATAATATAGTCTTAATACAAATATATCTCAGCTATATACAAAACACTGTAAGGAGAAAACAAAATGAAATAGTGACAGGACAAAAGGTTATCTATACAGACAAATTAATAATAAATAAGCATATGCTTAACATTATTTTTTGCCTGTTTTTGTGACTTTTAGTTCATTTTACCACTTCTTCTCAGCTGTTGCGTTTAATTGTGCCTCACCCTATAGGAACACTGTCCGTTTGTCATTATTGCACACAGATTTACACATACACTCAACTCACTGACTGGAGCTGCACTGTACATGTATACAACCATCATGCACAAACGCCCCTCCCTCCTCACATTCACTCATAACACACGCACGCACACACACACACACACACACACACAAAGGCACGTACGCTTGATGGCTATCATTAGATTGATGCCACCTGACACTTAGTTAGTGGTGGAATGTGATGTGAGGGAGGGCAGCTGCGGTGAGCCCCTGTCCGCAGCATCGCAGCATGTCCGAGGCTAGGCTAACCGTAACCCCACTAAAGCTAACACCCCCACATAGGCACACACACACACACACACACAGACGCCCGTATAGTGATAAAGGTGAAGGGAGAGCTCGTGCTATTAAAACTTCAGACATACCGCTTGTTGTCTGAACTGTGCCATATGCTGGAATGTAACATTTGGCTCCTCCTGGGCACAAGAGACTCCCACTCCCAGAAACAGCAGCACAAATGACCTCCCACTTATGAACCTCTCCTATCCGCTACTGTACACATGCCTTCCCCCTAGTCATCACGGATAGTTGTGGTATCTAGTAAACAGGAGGCTTGGTTATTGTCAGCACATGTGAAAAAGAAAAACAAATGGTTCCAAGTTAATTTGATATTAGTCTAAAAGCCAATGCAAAGTCATTAAGGGGCTTATATTATGCTATTTTCTCATTTGTTATGAAGTTGTTTCCTCATCACTAACATACCTGGAGTTGTGTTTTGTTTGATTCACATATATTTAGCATACAAACCCTGCACATTTAGGATGTGTTTTTCTCTTGTGATGACTTGTGATGTCATGTGGTATACAGGAAGTGCTCTGCTGTGTTTTTTTACACTCCATACACCTTCACTAGAATAATTTGAATAATTTCAGCCTAGTAATTGCCATTCTTTACTGAACGAAAGGTAAAAAGTAGCTGTTATCTTGAAAACTGCTACTACATGACATCACAAGGTGGAATAGAGTATTTTAAGCTTTGGAGATGTAGACAGACTGATTCAAATATGTGTGAATGAAACAAAACACAGCTCTGGGTGTTTTTGATGAGGTCATGGCTTTATAACATGGCTTAAAGCTCACAAGAATACATTTTGTGTAATATCGTACCTTCAATGTCTTTTTAACTAAATTTGTCTAAATTCCACACCTCCCGTATTATTTTCAATTAATTGAGACAAGACTCGGACATTCTTAACAGTTGTCATGTCATGTGACATTTTCTTGTTCCCAGGAGGCTTAACACCCTTCTCTCCTCCTGCCTAACCCTTAAAAACATGTTTGTAGGCTCTGAAAAAGCAGAAGTACTAGGAACTTAGCGCAGTCCTTTATGAGCACTACAATTTGTGGATTTTCTTATTATTAATATCCATAGTCATGTTTTGCAATAGGTTGCGTTCATATTTTAAAAATTTGATGTCATAATCTCAGATGGAGGGCAAGGGCCTATGAGAGATTAACTTTTTTCAAAGAAATTCAAATAGAAATGCAAATTTCAGTTTAAGTAATGACCCCTTTTCTGAGGCCATTGTGATAAAATTACTTTTATTTATGCTGACACAGAAGACACTGAACTTCATGTGAGTTTCTGTTTCATGTGTGGAACAAAAAGCACTACAAACCATATAACAGTTAAACAGCAAATTCTAGCATTGAATTCTGACTGGACCTTCAGCTCATTTTACGCTCTAGGCATTGCAGAATATTGAAATGTCACATGAACCCATCTTATAAAAAATGCAAAATGCATACATTATTTTGGCCCTAGTGATTAAAATAATTATAATGACTTTAGTCTGTCTGTTCTTCAAAAATCAAAATATAATGCTACAATTGCTATTTGAATCAACCTTAGACTAATAACCAATAACCAACCAATAACTTTTTAATGTTTTAATAATAAAAAACAAATTTTAAAAAGTAAAATTTTTCAAAATTTGTAGTTGTGTATCTGCTCTTAAACCTCTTGAACACTTACCACTGCTGCTAGCCTGTTTCGGATGTTAGGACATGTTGTGGCCAAAGTTTGTGTCGATTGTTTGGGTGTTTTGTCTTCGCCGACAGTTTGTGCATGTGATCTTGTGGATGTGATCATGGTTTGATGTGTGGTGTGTGTGTCCATGTGGTGTGTGTCCGTGTGCTGGCTCAGTGTCTGTTTTGCTAACCCCTCCTACACATGTTGCTCTACTGCTGGCCTTTTCTCAGCCCACTGTATATGACCATGAATGACCACATTCTCCAGTCTATCTCCATTTCACCCCCCCTCTCTTTCTCTCTCTTCCTCTCTATTCTGTTTGATTCCCTGTCGTTTCTGCCAAAGCTTACCTTGACCTCTGCGCAGGTTTTTCGCCCCCCTCTGTGTCATTATTTGCACATTTTTATTCAGGCCATGAGCGGCTACTATTTACAAACTTCCATATCTGTGTAACGTTTAACCGCTAAGTGATTTCTCAGTTCCCACTCATAATACTTGATACAACCACAACTTCAGCTCTTTCTTTTGCTGGACAATAGACCTTGTTTTTCTCCGCTTTCTTGTTGCGTTTGATGTGTTCTGTACAGTCTTTGGGTGGGTCCCTGGTGGCGGCCCCGGGTCTCTGGACTTTGGCGGACAGAATAGTGGGGTTGTGTTTTGTTTGTGTGCTTTTGGGTGTGCGTGCGCAGGGGGAAGTGGTGGAGGCATGGGGAGTGAGGGGAAAATTGGTTACCGCTGGCTCTGACGCGTTTTTTTCCCCCCTCCATTCATGGATTTCAAAGGCAAGGATTGGCATCAGCAGTCACTTTCACATTAGTGCACATAAATGGGCAAAGGCTCCATGATATTGCATGATATGTAGCAGTTATACTCTACATTACATCTCCCAAGGCCTGAAAATTGTGAAATGATTTTGACCCGTGGGAAATGCATTTAAAGGGCCCATATTACTCTTTTTTTCTGCCCTATGTTACAATGTTGTTTCCTCATCAAATACATACTTGGAGTTATGTTTTGTTTCATTCGTAGAAGTTTAACACACAAACCCTGCATATTTAGAGTTTTTCTTACAAACAGAAAACTCTCTGTTCCACAGTGTGATGTCATGTGATATAGGAAGTGCTGCACTGTGCTTTTAAATATGAATGATTTCAGCCATAGAATTCCTAATCTCTATTGAACGAAAGGTAAAAGGTAGCTGCTAACTCGAAAATCACCACTACATGACATCACAAAGTGGAACTGAACATTTTGAGCTTTAAGAGATGTAGACAGACTAATGATGCAGGATTACTAAAACGTTTGATTGAAACAAAACACAACTCCAGATATGTTTTTGATGACAGCATTATAACATTGCTCAAATCTCACAAGCAAGAGTCAATTTTGCATAATATAGGACCTTTAAGCAAACGTCCCTTAGCCATGGCAATAGGCCTGTCATAATAATTACCATATCGACTTATCGTTGAATATATGATAGAAAGAATAATATTTTTCAGGATAATAATTGTCGTGTGTACTTTTAACCTCTATGATAACATTTGAGCTGTAGTTGGTTGAAAAATTAACATGACACCTTAGAGATACTATAATTAACTACTTAAGTGTGAAATTGTTTGAGTAATTTATCACTGGACAAATTTTTTTACAATAACACTTTCACTGGGATAATCCTATTTTGGAGTTAATGTGCCAGTGGTATTATGTAGTTTGAATATGATTCTTTATCAAGATATTTTTCTGTAGCAATATATTATATTTAAAAATGAGTTATCGTGACAGGCTTAAATGGAAATATATCTATCAATGGTACAGAATAGATAAATAGAATTAGAATTTAAGATATAGTTATAGGATTATTAAAATGTGTTTTAGTTCACATTTAGTTTTTTATTTACCTTTTACTATTTTCATACAGCATCATCATCAAAGATGTTTCATATAGCAATTCACATGTAGGAAGAGCTTATTTAGTTGCATAATATAACTCAGCCCAACTTATTTTTAGCCTTTTAGCTACTATTTTCCTGCCTGGCTCAGCTAATCCTGCTTTTGCGAATTCATGAGAAATATAACACATCAACTTTTTTATTTTCCGATACAGACTGTTCTAGTATCTGACAGGTTCCTGGATTTCACCGTTAAAGCATTAACTTACTGTACCTAAAGTATTTTCTCTTCTATTGTGTCTCCTGCAGCGGGGTGTGTTTGGGGCTCATAGCTCTAACCCAGCCATGAGCATCATCGGGGCCGAGGATGAAGACTTCGAGAACGATCTCAATGATGTGAGTCAATGTACACCTCACATTACAAGTTTGTTTAGTCATTATTAAATTCTTGTTTGCTGTTCTTTGTGAAATTTCCCAGGTGGGGGACGATCAGTGTAAATATTTCAATTCTATAGACCAGCTAAAGGACCACCCAGCCCACCTGCTCGCCTTCATCCAACATGTCATCCTCCAGTTTGACCCTGCACCTTTGGTAAGATGTGGAAGTACGATCCAAATAGAATATAACATTACTGTGACATAAACAGCCATATTATTACATTTTACAGTGTAGATTACTTATTTTTGCTCTTTACTTGCTTCTTTACTTGCTGAATAATCCTGACCTCTCTAGCACTGAAGCACTTCTGTGTATGAAGGTTCAGTGACCTGTACTTTATTCAAAACATTATTTAGTTCCTTCTTTTTGACTTTTTCTGAAGTAGTAGGTAGGGCTATTTTTTAGTCAACTAGTCAAATTATTACTCATATTATATATCTAGATTTTTTGATAGATTTGTAAACAGATAAAGATAAGTAATATGCTGTCTTTTTGATGACTTTTTTGAGTCGTCAGAACTACTGACAATTAGTGAAACAGTTGCAGCCCTATTCATCCCTGAAGCAATAAGATAGACAAAACCAACATTATACCAAACAATAAAAAACACTGCAGCCTGGTGCGCTGCTTGGTCTGCTCAGAGATACTGATATAGAGATGTTCTTTTATGACCACTTAGTGTCATATATGTTTCCTTTATAGCTGTCCTTCCTCTTTATCTGTATGAGCTTATTTGGAAACACCAGTTGCATAATATGTCACTAATGTATTGCGACTACCCTTAACCACGTGTCACATATGTACAGTTTTTAGTATAGTCATACCATGCAATAACATGTATGCAGTAAAATATAATCTGTGTAAATAAAGATAATTAAAAATAAACAAAGAAATAACAAAGGAAATGGTTAAAGCAAAATGTCTAGAAATGTAATGGCTATACTGACCTACACAGAATGTAAACTACTCTGTACCTTAAAGATGTTATGTAATACCCGTGATGTCTCAAGTGAAAATACAAAGAGCTTTTGCCTGCAGCAGTAGTCAGTGATTACACACTCATAAATGTCAGGTTTGTTAATGCTGAAGACTAAGTATGCATTTAGATATGTAGAGCATGATAGTTATTACAGATCCATTGATAAGCATTTTGTTCATGGCTGATACTGATTATTTAGAATCCAGCGGAACTGATGACCTCTGATATGTATAGCCGATCTAGGTAATTTTTCCTAAATTATCAAATTAAATTTGAGTACAAACTCATCCGCAACCTTCTTTTACTACAAACTGTGTAGTGTCCAGTGTAGTCACGCTTTTGCTGTACTGTCTTTGAACTAAAATGTTCACATAAAGTTTTATATTTTTTCATGCTTATTAGGCTGCTGGTTGGGCCAAAAGGGGCAAATATTGGTCTATCTCTAATAGTGATGTTGATTTAAGTGTGTACTCTAGGGCTGCTGATTTAATTGCAATTAAATCTAACCCGCATTTAATGTGGGGCAATTGTCGAATCATGAATGCTGCATTTATTTGAATTATTAGTAGTTCTCTACAAAAACTAAATATCCTGTATTTTTATAGACAAATATGTTGTACCTCTAGTTTAGACCTGTAAAATGTTCTGAATGTCACAGGAGTCTTGTATTAGTTTATCAGTTCATATTTCAGAAGGTGGTTAAGGACTCTGAACAGAATCCTATTTTTACATACATCACAAATTTAATAGCAATTTCAAAACACAAAAATTAAATTAAAACGAGCATAATTCCCACAATGCATTTGAAAAGTAGGCTATAACACGATGTAATGGTAATAATATAGTGCCGCAAAGACCTGACAAAAAGTCTCACTTAAAAAGTAACAGGTAGTTTGGAGTTGCTCAGATTTACTGACCCCTTGTGGTTGCATTTTAAAAGGGACAGTAGATAATGTTATAATGCTAATAAGTATTGTTATTATTTGCAAAACGAAGTCCGGTGGATAACTCTAGATAAAGTTGTACACTAGCCTCATTCATTAAAAATCCTCCAAATGGAATAAACCAACCCAACCTACATTATAGTGTTTTTCTAAGTACCTGATGGTGATCGTGTGAGAAAAGCTCTTGACATTTTGTGTTTGTCCTACTTTGTTTTGACTAAGTGACCCATGTAGGTACCATTACACCTCCTTTAGCCATGACACCTCATCTCACCCCTCCCCGGTGCCTTTTGTCCTTAGCTGTCCATGTAAACAATGAGAAGAAAATAACTATTGTAAACAAGGAAGGTGAATTGTGTAGAGTTTCTTTCAATTTGAGGTTGGCCAAACTTACAATGCTGATAACATAATAACAATAACATGTAGTGCAAACATCCGCCAAGGCATATTGCAATACTACATTATAGTTTGTTAATGTTAATTGTACTTATCTTGATCAAATAATAAGAAAACAAAAGGCATACAATATGTTATTAAACACTGGGGAAAATGGAATAAATATGTTTATACTTTCGCCCACTCCTTTTCAAGCATGTACATAATTCCTTGTATATAAGGAGTATGGATTCTCATTATTGGTTGGTCTTCTTATTCTTTTTTTTATGTCTTGATAGAGTTTTTTCTTGCGTGTTGAAAATAAACAACAAACAAATATCACTGCTAATCGTTGTGTCTTTGTCCTCAGCTGTGTTACCTCCATGGGGAGCTCCTTAAAAACCTCAGTGCCAAAGAAACCAAGAAACAGTTTGTGGAGTTTAACAACAACTTTTTGGACAAGGGTGCAGTAAGTAGCCCATTGCACAACAGGCACTGTAAGAGATTGTGAGTAATTAGGCTTTCATCTGGCCTGCAGGGACCTTAGAGCGGTTTAGACAGGATAGCTTTGGCTAGTTTTGTGTGGTATAACTGGATTTGCATGTATTTGTCAGACAATGTAGGAGAGTAACAACGTCTAAAGTTTGGAAAGGTTTTATTGTGACTTGTGTTTCCTGGGTACCATCTCTTAAAACAAGAGCCCTCTGCTTGAAATGCATGTCTTATCAAATATAACAAGTCCAGAGTTAGTGCATAGCAATTTATATAAAAACTAAATCAATTATATTCACATTTGTATCAAAAATATATGAAAATGTTGTAGATTTCACATTTGATTTAGTGACACATGTCCAAGTGGAAGAAAATGGGACATTGACCATGTAAATTGCTGGTTTACATAAGTGGGCTGTGGGAACTGAAGTACATAGTGTATTATTTGCATATGCAGAAGCATATCAGTGTTCAGTCTGTTTGCTTTGTTGATGCTAGGCTTATTTCCGTCACTGTGTTCTCCACCTGCTTCACTTCTCTTAGATTTCACTTCTAACTAATGTTTTCCATATTGGAGAGTTCTTCTGGATTTCTGTCAATACCCTGTCTAACTTTACAGCCTTCTGCCATGGTTGTGGGATGAAGGATCCTCTTATTTAACCTAATTTAATCTCTTATTTAACTTAAATCTACTAATTTTGATGTATTTGTCAGCTGTGTGTACTTCTCTGTTGGGCTTTCGTTTTTATTTCTAGTGTTAATCTGACCCCTAGTGGCAAATTTCTGTTGCTGCATAACCTGTATCATATTTGATGAAATATTTTATTTTTCTTCATAGATTCTAAGAGTGGCAGTACCCTCTAATATATCAAATGAATTAGGTATGTATATGATAAAATATTATATGCCTTTTGGTCATATTTTGATGTTAATGTAAATGTGCCTTATTGGTATTTTCTCAATGCAAAAGCTTCCACTGTACTATACTATGAAGATGTCTTCAGTTAATCCACCATCTGTTATTTTATTTTCAGCTCATTTTCATTAAACTTGTCATAATACCCTAACTATATTTTGTACTGTTAATGTAGATCGGACACGACCAGAGTTGCTTTCAGAAGAGACTCAGAGGCGTTATGTCCAGGAGGTCCAGAGCCTGCAGTGCGGAGAAGTGGCCAAACAGCTGGAAGACTTCAGGTAACAAAATACATCACTCCTGTTTTCATACCACTCCACTGGCTCCCTTTACCACATCCAATACAAGGTTCTCCTCATCACCTACTAGTCCCTCCTCCATAACCTGGCCCCTCCCTAACTCACCAACCTCCTTTATCAGCACTGTTCCACCCACCCCCACTCCCACAGCCCATCAGGAACTCGGATTCATTAAAGCACTTCAGATCACTACTAAAAACTCACCTCTTCAATCTTGCATTCCCCCCATGAGTTCCACCATTGTTCCCTCTTGTTTCTTAATGTTTATAAAGAGTGTCCAAAAATAGCGCTATACATTTCTAATGCATTATCCAATTATGTGTCTTTATGTACATTTCTGTCATAGAGCCAAAAATAGGCAACAATGCATTTATAATATTATGTAATACTTTATTAACAGGACAAAGAGGATGATGGGTATGACGCCATGTGAAGCGGAGCTGAACGATGTGGAGAGCCACTATCCTACAGACCGCATCCCCATGGAGATGAAGGAGAAGTCTGTAGCAGAGAACCTGCTGGACAGGATGGCTGAGTCACAGTTAGTGTCTTCATTTGTATTGTCTTTATCTAATTTGGAATGGGTTCTTTATTGTGACTCTCAATATAATAATACAGAACAGTTACTTTTCTGGTAGAGTGTCCAACATCATCTTATGTCCATGTTATGGGTTGCAATGTTCCACAGTGTCTCTGTGAAAATATGTTCATGTTCTAGATATTTTTGAGCAATAAAATTGAAAAACAAAAAAAACAAAAAAAAATAGCTAAATGGATAGGTTTAATGTCATACCGTGGAACATTCCAGACAAAGCAATAGCATCTCTATAGAGGCAAAAAAGGTTACATAGTCCTGAAATGCTATGAGTTAAATGAAACACTTTTTGTCAATTTGAATGGCTTTGTTCGACTGTGTTATTCATAGAATAGTGAGACGGATAATTCACTCATATAGAATGGAAGAGAAAAACACGACAGGAAATCAGGAGCCAATGGGGAAGTCATGGAATCAGCATTGCCACGCTGGCAGGAAGGATCTTCTGTGGCACAGTGCCAGTTCTGAGAGGGGTGGAGATGGTGGTAGGGGAGAGGGGTGGGGGTCACAAAGCGGAAAGGGGGATCGGAGTGAAAAGGCCAAAGGGTTATCGATGCAGCCACAACCACTGCCCCAAATGCTTTTAAAGAAAAGAAGATCTGGCGGAAAGTTAATCTATCCTTGACCCTATGGTCATCTAAAATGTCTTATCTTCTACCAGAATCAAGTCGGACAGACAGGGAGAGGAGGCCAGCAGCAGGGCAGAGAGCTGTCCAAATGTATCTTGTCAAAAGGAAACAAAAGTGAACAACAGCAGCGAACTGAGCGCCAGCTGATACGATCTCACTGTAAATGCAGCAGATAAACTATATGAGTAAATGTCCTGAAGATGTGAAAAAGCAGCTCTTTAGTCCCAAACTCACCATCACAAGGGGGGGACTGTCTCTGTTTCTACAGCACAGTCAGACCAGGCACTTCATTCAAACTGTAACAATATAGTCTCTATTCAGTTGACTGGTGCAGTCTGCTCCCAGCCTAACTTGGCCATAATGACCCTGTTCCATCTGCTTCCTATTGGTCAGTCTGTTGATCTCAGTGACAGAAAAGGAGCATTTGATTGGATTATGCAGGGGAATCCCGGGGAAAGCCCTCCCACCCTTTATGTTCATGGCAAAACACGAGTATCCAATTTCCGCCCTGTTGCTGTTCCATTGCATCAGACTAAAACAGGGAGAAACTGTGTTTCTGTGCTGGAGCACTGCTGATTTTTATATGGGAGATTATAATATATTTTTTGGACAATGCCAAAGATGTACTTGTAGTTTTCTGAACAAAAACAGGAGCAGCTTTGACTGCATTTTTTTTTTTTACTTTTCAGTTTGTTTAATTATTTTTTTGCACATATCGGAATATGTTCCAAAGCTTCTGCCCTGAACATAAAAGTGCAAAAAACTATTTCCAGTCTGTTCAGGAGAAGGATTTCCGATCTTCTTGTCCTAAAACACAGTTAGTATTCAACTGGAAAAGAGATAGGGAAAATGTCACTTAAAAGGTTTGTGGATTTGGTAGTTCTAAATGCTGCTCAATATATGACACTTGACTTAACTTTGTATTGTTTTGTTTTGCAGGCCCACTATTGTCTCAGATGAGGAGAAATGGTATGTGCTGAATAATGCATGGAGTTGTTATGCTTAGATACAAATTTACATTAGATCAATACTGAATCATGAAAGTGAATATTTTTTCTGCAACTTACCATCCGCATTCTTTTTACAGCCAGTCCATCTTCACAGCAGTGGCCTTCTACATGAAACATTTGGGAGTTAAGACCAGGGCAGTGGACAGCAAGAAGTCAAGAGGAGGCTTCTTCAGGATACCACTGGGAAAGGTACAACATAACTAAAATGCATGGCTCTGACCTAGAAGTCCTGGCAATGGTATTGTTAAAAGTTCTATATGATGCTAAATTAATTCAAGACATGTTATAATGTTCCCTCCTAAAAAACATACCTGGAGTTGTATTTTGTTTCATTCACACGTTTGAGTAAGCCTTTACTATTAGTCTAAATCTCCAGAACTCAGAATGCTCTGTTCGACCTTGTGATGTCATCAAGTTGTAATTTTCAAGTTAACAGTTCCTTTTATCTTTAGTTTAGGTGAGACAGGCAATTCCAGAGCTGAAATGATCCAGATCATTGTAGTCCTAGTGTATGGAGTTTAAAAACATAGTGGAACACTTCCTATATTACCACATGACATCACAAGGTGAAACAGAGTGTTTTCTGTCTGATAGAAGAACTAACCTAAATATGCAAGGTTTATGTGTTAAACATGTAATGAAACAAACCACAACACCACTGTTTTTGATGAGGAAATATTATAACTGATCATAAATTAGTGTAATGTGGGCCCTTTAAATATTGTAACACTCACACTCTCACCCATACCATTGTTACTTTTTTTTTTTTTCAGAATAAAAGGGATGACATACCGAAGATTAAAACCAGACCATTTCCAAGCATTCCGAGTTGGATGGGTGGGACCAACAGTGGTATGTGTAAATTTTGTGTAAATCTCTAAGTATATAATTAATCAACTATACAAAAATATGTTGTGCTTTATATTGTACCTTAGTATTTATTGTGGCTTTATGTTAACAATATGAGTGGTTTGAGAACATTGCCCTTCTCTCCTGTTACAGCTGAAACCATCAAGCCTAAACCAGATGAAGGTACCACTCTTAAGTATCCTTAGAGTGATCCATAACCTACAATTAACCCAATAGCATGTTTGCATGTCCCAAATTGCACTGAGGGGGAGTGGGTGGACTGGCTATAAGTTAACTTACAAATAACCTTCTAATTTTGACACAGAACTACGGATTTCACTAACCTTCACCTGAAGCTGTGATTGCACCAAACCCATTTTTCTAGTTTTTCTTTCTATATTCCCAAAAACGTATCCTAACTCAATATTAAAGATGCATTGTGTAACGTTTCTTGTGGAGGTCCGTCAAATGCTTTTCTCCATGGAAATGTTATAACTTTATCTGGAATGTTCCACAGTATGGTATTAAACCTTTCTATCATCATGGAGACCAAACCAGACCAAGTTACAGGTCAGATCTGTGGAGAGGCAACCCTGCTCATAGTCAAAATGCCTGGTTGTCAAGGTATTTTTGAGCAGTTAAACCACCTGTAATTAAATACATGTAAGGTAGAGCTGTTTAAAGTCATACTGTGGAACATTCCAGACAAAGTAATGACATATCCATAGAAACAAGCAGATGACAGACCCCCAATGAAAAAGTTACACAGTGCATATTTAAATCAAAACTTTCTTCTCATTCATTGATTATTCTCACACTGCTCTCTATGCTCTTTAGGGCCATCAGAACGCAACAAAAGTCTGCCTTCCATCAGAGGCTCTGTGACTGAGCCCCCACTCACGAGCAGAAAGTCTGTCACTGTCCCTGTGGTGCAAGGACCTGCGCTGGAAATCCCTGATGGTTTAGGAAACAACAACAGCACCGCCAACAGCCCCGAGGCCTCCATTAGTGATGGTAAAAAAAGTCAATTATGACATTTATTGTTGCTAGCACATATATATTTTTCTCTTCATATGTTAATCAAGAGAAAATAGTCAGGCAAGTGTATGGAATATTACAAAACACAGTGGAACACCAATAACACAAGGTGGAGTGTTTTCTGAGAGCCTCAGCCTAAATATGCAGGGTTTGTGTGTTAAACATGAAACAAAATACCACTCCAGGTATGTTTTTGATTACGAAATTCTATAACATAGATCAGAAAATTGCTTAATACGGACCCTTTAAATCTATTAGTACACCCCTTTGACACTGGGCAATTGCGGTGCTGCAGGCTGGACCTCAGACTGTCAGATTATTTGGAATGTGTCAAAATACTGGAAATTTATATTTTGTACTTTGTTTATCTTACTGATATACTCATCTCCACATACTATCTTGTCTTTGTCTTCCAGGCCATTTGATGAATCGTCTTGAGCCCCCTACAGTTTCAGATGGGGGGGACCTTTCACCTGTGGGGCTAGGCGGAGGCTTGAACATAGTGGAGCCTCTGTCCTCTAGTGACACTCCCACAGAGGAAAGCGTGAATGAAAAAGACAGGTAGGCTAGTTGTAGCAGTGGTAAAGAAACAATGCCAGGATTAGATAGATCCAGATTACAGAGAGATTATATTAAGATGCAGTCCAGTGACCCATATTAGTGTAAGGGCTGCTTCAAATTGAGGGAGCGTGGTAAGACTCCCTCTGCAGTCTGTCCCTGCTGTGTGCCCACGTCTTGTGTTGTGCTCATTGCTTGCTAGCTAACAGAGCCTGGAGTCTTGTGACGGACCCTGACGAGGTGAACTCAGATCCACTCTTTACAGCTCTTCCCTCCTCTCCCTTCCCTCTGTTTCTTTGTCTCTGTTTTACACTTTTGATCTCATAATAGCATGTGCCACTGCTCTTCCCATCCTTTAGCTTTTGTGCCAGCCGTGTTGCCTACATGTGTCATTTTGTGCCAATGTCTTTTTGCTGGATTCAGGATTGTCAGTTGTTGCGCTGCTAATAATTGGTAGTGTCCGGTATTGTCTGTGTCATAAAAATATTTTCCGCACTAAAAGCATGATTTTTAGAATTCTAAGGTGGAATGTAGTTTGTCAGATATTGAACACTTATTTGTGGTTATTAACATTGTTGCCACTGCAAGTCTCTTATGTGCCTCAGGGTGTTTTTGTCTCAACCAGGGTTGAACCTGTCTTGCTTGTCCTCAGTGTTTACATCTTTGTATTAGAAGCTTTGGCATACTACACTGACTGTGCTTAGGTAGTAGGTAGGTAGAGAGTGCTTTTAAGGCTGTATTGATAGGTCATTGTAGTTGATGCGATGGTTGTGTAACAATGTGGTGCCCTGTGTTTTTTCAGACGGAGAACAAGGTGGGTCTCCGCTCCCTGACAGAGTCTTGGACATGCTTCAGACTTCACACTAGAAAAACACAATCATTACACGCATACACTCTCATGTTTAGTACACCCACAGCTAAGTATTGTTACTTGGTTTGATAGTTGGGCTAAGTTGAATTATACAGATGCGTCTGAGGAATTGTATAATAATGATTTAATATAGCTAACTAATATTTAGGATTTGTGGAAGCAATGCATGGCTTTGGTAATGTGCTTCTATAAACTGATTTAAAATGCACTAGTGGTCATATGAAACATACTTTATGTTTCATGATGTATTTGATATGCATGTTACAATCCATGCATATTTGCCTTTCTCATTCACTTTGAGTGATCTTTTGAATTGTATTTTTTCTATCATCTCACAGTTTAACATAATTCATTATTTTCTTTATTTTACTATTTAATCTTGCTTTTCTACTTTATTATTTTCTTTTGCCATTTTTTGTCCTTTTATCCTTTCTCACCTGCTGCTCCTTTACTATTTTCCTCTCCTGTATTTTCCTTTTTCCTTTATTTGTCACCCCGTTTCCCCCTCCTCCCCTCCTGCCTTCACACCTCCTACAGTAGGAAAGTGGCGCGCAGTGAGAGTGCTCGTGTGGACCGGCACTCCTCTCGGCGCCGTGGCTCGTCCCGGGCCAAACAGTCCCGTTCCCGTAGCGACGTGGACCTGCAGCCTCCCTCCACCACATCCTCATCACCCGCCCCGCTCAGCCCGCAGCACCTCCATCCGTAAGATGGGCATTGCTTCTACAGCCCCTTCAAAGATGTGCACAGCAGGGACAGACGGGACATAGCAACAAAAACACTATTTCACGAATTATTTTCTTTGGGTAAATTGTTCTGTAGTGACAGAGAGTTGGTAACTGTCAGACAGTAGTCTCAGACAGTGGTGCTTAGGAAAGGTGCTTATTACATCAATACTGCTCCTGGGGAAGAAGCACTAGACCATTATTAAGTGGTCCTCGCTGTTCATCAGCATCCTGTAAGCCCTGTAAAAGGTCTGTTGTGTTTTCCAATAGAAATTTAAAATGAGTTAACCACATTTCTTCTAATATTTAAAAACTAAAAATTTATTTTTAAAAAAAATCAGTCCCTTACTATCTGTCACACAACACTGTATTATCTTTCCAAAATTTTGATGATTATGATTGACAGTTTTAGTCAGATCAGATAATATGGAAAAAAGGAAGAGTCCTTGATGCTTTTGTTGGTTTGATGGGCTGACTCTATATCTCTTCAACAAATGCTGTATACATTTGAAATGTTAAAATTTAATTGGCCAATTTTTAATTTGTTGGTTTTTTTGTAATCTATGTATCTGTGCGTATCAGTAACATTCAGTGAAGTATTTTGCTTTCGTAGCTCTGACGGACTAGTTCTAGTGGCTGATGGTCAAGGGGCTTCTCCTACTAGCCCCTCTCCACAGCTGGAGGAGGTGGAGCCACGTCTTCTGGAGTTTGAGCAGGACCCTCCCAACTGGAGGGAGCTGGCCTCATCTGACGCACTGTCCTGCCTGAGTAAGAAGGAAATCAAGAGGCAGGAAGTCATCAATGGTGAGGACAAAAGCAAGTCTTAATATGATTATGTACTAGTATAAGGCCATAGTTTATAATGTTATGTGTTTGTCTTTTCCAGAGTTATTTGCCACTGAGCATGCTCATGTGCGCATGCTGAGTGTCCTTCAGATGATCTTTTCCAAACCTCTGGAAAGAGAGAACCTACTAACCGCCGATGAACTTGCTGCCATCTTTCCCAGCCTGGATGAGATTATTGAAATGCACTGTGAGTTCTGCATCAAACAGTTCCTCTACTGTAATAATATAAATTGTAACATTTAGAGTTATTGAAGCTTCTAGTCTAAAATGACATATTTTACTGTTTTTAACTATTTTTTTTAAAGATAACTTTTATGAGAATCTGAAGAAACTACGTCTGGACGATGGCTTCATAGTCAAATTCATCAGCACCCCAGTGCTCAATCGGGTGAGTTTTTTAAAGAAGACCTTTTGTACTTGTCTCTTCTGTATACTTATAATCTCCTATGTTCTAAAACGACTTAAAATGAAACATGGGTGCCCAATGGGAGCCAATGTTGCCGTAAACATCATCACAGTAGTTGTTGCCCTCTCCAGTGGATAGCTGCTGATCTTTTTTTTTTTTTTTTTTTTTGTAACAAAATCACTGTGCAGCAATGCTGTATCCGGTGTATATCATCACCTGAGAAAATTTAATTGGAGAATGAAGTAAACAGAAAGCAATGGGTGTATATCAGTAGTGGTGAAATTAGGAGCTGATCAGTAATATGGCATCTTAAAAATAATTAAAAGATTGTTCAAACATGCATGATTACTGCAACTACAGCATCAAGTTGGTAAACAGTGAGGGGAAACAACTGTAACATGGTTAAAAGGTCTGACATATCAATTATGCATAATAGGTCTGTTTTAAGGGCAGTAATATATTAAAGTTTATTTATTTATTTATAAAAACAGCAACTGACTGACTTGTGGTGTATTGTGTAATATATTTTGGTTTGTTGCAGTTTGGGGGCACAGAAGGAGAGTGGTTTCAGAAGCTCACATCTCGGTTTTGCAGTCACCAGTCATGGGCACTGGAACAAATCAAGAGCAGACAGAAGAGAGAGCCACGTTTCAACTCTTTTATACAGGTCTTGTTTGCAGCTTTACTCCTCAGATCAATCAATCAAACTTTATTTATAAAGCACTTCTCATCCAAAAAATATAACACAAAGTGTTATATTTAAGTTGCAGTGATTAAAAACAATCCCACATTTCTTTCCACCCACCAACGTACCCAACTTCCACAGCTGCCTGACCCCACACAACAAACAACCACAGTCACATGCACAGTCTCACCCACATGCACGCACTCTGCACACACATTTACACGCATGCTAATACGCTAAAAAAGCATAAAACTACATATAGTAAAACATGAAGATGAATACAGGTGAGCCAGTTGAGAAAGACAAATATGTAAAGATCTAATCATTGAAATGTGTATGGTGTTTTCAGGAGGCAGAGAGCAAACCTCAGTGCCGCAGACTTCAACTGAAAGACATCATTCCCATAGAGATGCAGAGGCTCACCAAGTATCCACTGCTGCTCGAGAACATTGCCAAAAATACAGGTAGATATGTGATTTGTGCCACTGAAATATATTTCAACCTGTAGAGACTGAGACAGACAAACTGAAAAAATATTAATAGGTTTATTGTTTGAGTTAGCTTTGTCGCTCAGACCCCAGGAGAAGACATTGCAATGAAGGGTGATTAGATGACATTTAGGAGAAATCTTTTCCTCGGGCCTGGACACTGGAGGTGGTAGAGGTGAGGTCAAGGAGAGTTAAGGGAATGAGAGGTTGAGGAGAGTGAAGGGGACAATGAGATGATGAGAAGCCTATGGGGTGCTAGGGAGGAGGTAGGATGTGGCACAAGCTGAAGTGGCCAGGCATCTGCAATGGGAGTCTAAATAGGTTAGAGTGGGGGCTGATTGGACAGGAGGAGTATTTGGGGTGAGATGATGAAGGCTGGAGAAGCAGTGAGGTAGAAGGGAGCAAAGTTAGGTCTCCATATGTATCAAGCTTTATGACTGACACGAGACATACATCACAGTAGTCGGTGTAAGCAAACAAAGCTTTGCAATATATCTGAATGAATGTAGAATGTAGATTTTGTTGTTATTGGCTAGTTTTACAGGTAGAGACAGGCCACTACCTTGTTTTATCACTGTCACACACAGCTACAACTCATAATCATGATCATTGTTCAGAACAAGTCTTGGCTTTTTTCCCCCTCATTACCGTTCTTGTTGCGTCACCGAGCATAAACAACAATTATACAGAGACAAGCATAATTCCATAACTTATAATTACCAATTGTAATTGACAGTTATAATGCCTGATCTGTGCTTGTCCACCTTTGTTTAAGACAAGAAAACCAAATCAAATATTAGTAAAATGAAACAATACAGTATGCACTGCTACTTTAATGGTCCTATATTACGCAAAAATTACTCTTATGAGTTTTAAGCCATGTAATAATGCTATTATCTCATCAGAAGCATGCCGGAAGCTGTGTTGGTTTCATTCACACATGTTTTAGTAACACTTTATTATTATTCTGTCTATATCTCCAAAGCTCAAAGTGCCCTGTTCGACCCTGTGATGTCATGAAGTAGTAGGTTTCAAGTTAGGCAAGGCAATCTGTCATGAGGGACACAAGCAGGTTACAGCACTATGCTACATATAGACTCTACTGAGAGTCTTCCCTATTCACAGAAGGAATTAATGTATTTTTGAGTAATGGAAACACCCGTGGATATGTTTAATACCATGAAACATTTCAAGGAAAGCAATAACATCTCCATAGATACAATTAGGTAGCGGACCCTTCCACCAAAAACACCTTTCAAACAAGAAAACCCAATCAAACAATGGGCTAAGAGTAAACTAAAACAATACATGAACATCACACAGAATCAATCAACTGTCTGTCTCAGACCTGTGTGTACCCTGATGATTTATGCCTTTGTCTGCACATCAGTGTAAGTGGTATTTACCTGTGCACTGTGCTGTTTGTATTTCTGTACAGAGGACGCCACTGAGAAAGAGAGGATTCAACAGAGCGCAGAATGCTGTAGAAAGATCCTCAACCATGTCAATGAGGAGGTCAAAATGATGGAGAACCTATTGGTGAGAAACACACCATCCATCACACTGCCCAGTGCTGTGAAGTGACTGACCATCAGTTGGAGTACATTTATTTTAAGGCCTCGAAAGTTCTTTGCCTGTTGGATTGCTTTTACTTTGCTGCTGTTCTCTTCTTCTGTCTGAATGTAATCTCTTTCTTTTCAGACTTTGAAGGAATACCAGAGAAAACTGGACACATCGGGACTCAAGCCCAGTAATGAGCTGTACACTGAGTATAAGGTTGTAAAGGCCTTTAAACTGTATTGTGAATGTAGATTTTATAGTTTAACCTTAGCTGTGAATTAGTGAATGTCCATTTTGCCTTTCAGAACATTGATTTGACTCAGAAAAAGATGCTGTTTGAAGGACCTCTGACCTGGAGAGTGACCAAAGAAAAAGCTATTGGTAATAATGCCTGGTATATTCTTAGATTTGACACTTTAAAATACTGTAATTAGGTGTTTGTAGCTTCAAAAAGACACAGCTCTCTTTTTCACAGCCCTTATATTGAATTATACATCAAACAGTGGTTTTAAAGCTCAACTTTACTTTTATATAAAATGCTACTGCTACAACATGATCCACAAGAAAACAAAGTGATTTGCACTCTTTCTTCACAAGTTTCCATGTTCATTTACCAGAGTATGCTCCTCTTGAGTCATATGCCTCCTTCAACTGCTGTGCTCTTCCTGATCACTATAAAAAAGTACAAGCAACAGACCAACATGCAGATCAAGAATTCAATACTCTTGGCATTGTTCACATCAGATACACACACACAATTGTTTATAGTAATTATTATATTTTCTCAGTTGGGTATTACATCAGTTTAATTACTGCTTTCAAAACATACTTTTGAACAGGAGCCTTAATAAACAGATGCTGTTATTCTCTTTTTTGACCTTTGCTCTGCTCTGGCTCCCTGCAGAGGTGCAGTGTGTGCTGCTCGGGGACATGCTGGTGCTGCTGCAGAAGCTGGATGATAAGATGGTGCTGAAATGCCAGAGTAAAAGCAACATTGCTGTACAAGAAGGCAAAATGATGCTGAGCCCCATTATCAAACTAGACTCTGTTTTCCTACGTGAGGTGGCCACAGGTCAGTTCCACTCTCAAATGAAATTCTTGTAAAGAAAATGGTCTGTGTGAAACTCGTATTTTCTGTTTTTTCATTTTTTAAAGATCGAAAAGCCTTCTATGTAATCTTTACATGGGATAGTGGAGCACAAATCTATGAACTAGTTGCTCAGTCTGTTGGTGAAAGAAAAACGTAAGTTAAGAGACTTATAATTTTCCTCAGATGCAAATATATATTTTTTTAATTTATGTTTATTAATAAAATATGTTATGTTAATAAGATATGTTTATTTTGTTTTAGAGATGTGTGCGTTTTAGTGATATTTACATAGCAGTAATTTGTAATTATGGATGTGTTTTTCCTGTATGATTTGTTTGAAAGGTGGACCGAAGTGATCAAGACAGCAGTAGATGACCTAAAGAAGAGTGGTGCACCCATGAAGCTGACACTGCCTTCTGTTGGCGCCCCCTTCAGCCCTGTCACGTGAGTGAAAAGTTGCCTTTTTATGGTGAAGTTCACTCTCCATAAAACCATCAAATTTTTTGCCAATGTTTTCCCCCAGGCTAAATGCTCCTTTGAGCCCGACAGAGAATGGCAGTCTAAAAAGTGTCAGTGGTGAGAGACTTTTACCAGTCCAAATAGCACAGACTTGTTATTGTTCCACATTTGTGAAGGCTGCAGCTGGACCTTCACTTTGTGTGTGTGTCCATAGAGCGAGATAAGGACAGTTTGACGGATGAGAAGTCCTCAGACCCCAGGCACTCGCTGATTGATTTCCTGTCAGACAAAGGCTTCGACTTGATAGGCCACTCCAACAGCGATCAAGAAAAGGTGGCCAATAGTGCTCTGGATGAAGGTGATTTGTGTTCTTTCTTATATTCTTTTTGTACAAAGTATTTCAGGCCTGTCTTTTGTGAAGGATGACTGAATCTGTGTACTTCTTGTAGTTATGTCCCTCAAAAGGCTATTGGTCGGCAGCATTAGTTTTTCAGAAGATGCAGCACTAGATGAAAAATTCGAAGAGGAACTATCGGACAAGCACAGTGAAGCCAATGAAAGTAGTCAGCCAACAGGTGGGCTTTAATTTATGCTTTAAATCTTATCTATGAACAGGCATCTGTAATTGCATTTTTGTCTTATATTCTTCTTCTGTCTTACCTTCTTCAATTTAAAGACAAAAACGGTAATAAAGACAAAAAAACAAGCACACATTGCACAATTTTAGTGACATAAAAACAAGAACTGATGATGTCTTCCATATCAACCACAGATTTCATTTGTATTTACAGCAACAGCAACTAACATTTCCTGTTTGTGGTAACCATAATCCTGCATAAATAAACTGAATGTGAACAAAGCCAGTAGTGTACACAGTGGAACATTTTTTTTTTTTTTTTTTTTTAAAGCATCAGGAATAGAGTTGTATTCCAGAACTGTTATGGTTTTAGGTTTAGATACTCTTACACCTTTTACACCTTTTTGCTGGATTTTAATAGGTTGATGGCCCATTAAATTTATTGTGGCAGCTACTTGTAACAAATGCTGATTGATTATTAAATTATGCAGAATTAGCATATATTACATATTCTTCTAAATTTGTATTAATGTGTTAATCACACATTTTTGTATGCAAACACAATTTATTCACTGCATTTTTCAATTTGTAGATGAAACTTCAAGTGCAAACACAGGAGCAGAGGAAGAAAACAACCACCCTGCTGTGAAGGATGCGGCCGGGATGAAGACAGACGATGAGAGCATCAGCGCGCCCATGGTGCTGTCCCAGGAGAGGATGGAGGAAGTGTGTAGGCGGCTGCACAGTCTGGAGAAACATCTGAAAAAACTCCAGGTAAGAGGAGCCAAATAGAGATGAGAATATAGAGAAACAGTGTGAGAAGACATGACAGCCTCAGATAAAGATATGACAGAAGATAAGAGCCATCGCCACACTGAAGCTGAGCTGGGCACGGGGGGTGTTCACTGCGGATAACTTAAGTAAGAAGCAGGCAGTGCTATACTTTGGACAAATGGGGCCAAAATGGCACAAAAGAGAAACTAGAGAATAGAAAACCATTTAACCACTGCTGTTATTGCTTTGCTGAAAATTGCCTTGTGAAATTGGACTTCTCTGAAAATGGCTATTATGTCCAGCACTTGCAATGGGATGTGTCAGAGAACGGCGAGAGAGACGAAGAGAGGATGTTAAGAGGGGGAGGTTGAAATGTGTGTCCGTGAGTTATGGGGGAGGTGGGTGGGGGGAGTTGTGTCTCTCCTCAGTTCTAAGATGATATTGATTTTGTGTGGTGCAGGCTGTTGAAGAGGAGCACCATCGGCTACAGGAGGCCCTCTCCAAGTTCTCGCTGGAGGGGGGAAACTTCCATTAAGTCGCCATCACGCCACCTGCTGGCCACTAGGTGAGGAATCAGAAGCCACATGGTGACTTTGTATTACTTAAACTTAAAACCTCACTATCTCACTACAAAGAAAACATTACATTTTCTTAGTTATGAAGATTCCTCATTGTTTTTGATGGTGTATTCCAATGTCAACTTTTTGTTCATAATGTATTATCATGTGTATCTATTTGCTATTAAATGATCTACATTTTGAAAAGTGTTAGCATGATAACAATAATCAAGTTCTTCTTTTGTTTTCAGAGTTGTTCTGATGCTGGGTTGAAGTGCAAGAGTGACAGGCCTTACGTGACCCCTAACAAGCCTACCTTGGCTCCTTTGCAGCTTGTGAAAATGCTTTCTGCCTGCAGGGGGGGCTGGTGGCTCTGTGAGAAGTGCAGTGGTCCAGTGACAGAACATGGGAGCTTGTGTGCGCTTGTATGTGTGTGTCTGGTTGAGTGAGTGTTGGAGAGCCATGAAGAGAAACATCCTGCTTTTCAGTGGGGTATTGCTTTTACTGAGAGGTGCCAAGAAAAACTAGCAATATTTGCTGTCTGAGGCTGCCAATGTTAGAGGAGTAGCAGAGGATTTCTGTAACACACAAATGCACACAGAGACATGCTTCTCATCATTACTGCCAGAAGCACAATTAGAGAGAAACTTTGTGTTGCAGCACCTGGTTGGAGCTTTGAGGTGCTTATCTATTGAAGATGCTTTTAAAAAACTACTGCCAATATTTCAGAGTTTTTTCTTACCAATGCCAAAGTATATAATGCACTTTTTTGTTTTGAAAATGCCTTTAATACTCCTTAGCATAGTTTTTCAAAATGTATTATACTTAAACCTATAGTGGTCATGAATGACAATGCATGCAGTGTGTGTATGTGTGTGTTACATTTTAGTCTTTTCGGTTAGTTGGAGACTTCTTTCTTACTTTATTTAGGTCAAATATTGGCACAATAGCTAACTATGCTGTTAATAGTGGAGACAAGTGTTTATATTTACTGCTTTTATTTATTCCTCTTGAGTCATGTGGGTGACACTGTAACACACTGGCCACAAAAGATAATGTCAAAAGAATGTCGAAATAACAGAAGGCTCCTCGGAAATGTGTAAAGAACGCAATGTTATCCAATCGCAGATATGTAGAAAGCTTTTATATAGAATGTAGTTTTGATAGTGGTTATATAACAGTGTAGCAAACAGTATTTGCACTCAGTAGATAACTAATTTCAAATGTAAACAGTGCACACACACAATATCATCTTTCTGCAGGTAATACTCATATATACTGTAGACCTGATTCCAAGTATCCACAGCTGCTGAGTTGAAATACAGAGTCTTACAGGGTCATTACTTGTATTATAAGACATCAGGTTTCCATTCCTGTTTGTAATTAAAAAAGAATTCTTACATTTATATAGAATTTAGGATTTGTATGTATATTCTATCCAGCTTTGATTGTACTTGATGATTAAACAATGCTATATAAATCTGTTAGAGGCAAAAATCAATATCTGGGCAGGTTAAAATTACTTAAATTAAGAACAGTTTACTTTATTTGAGTTGATTCAACTTGACTTGAAGTAAAATAATCTACCAATGGAATAGAAGTGTTTTTCTTAACTCAAGCAATATTAGATTTAGTTTCTTTGTTATAAGTTCAAAATAAGAGCAAGTGGAACAAGATGTATTTTCATATTTTAAGTATGAAAAGTCTTGTTCCATTGGTAGATCATTTTACGTGTCAAGTGAAATTTATTAAAATCATAATAAAATGTTCTTAATTAAATTAATTGTAACATGGCTAGATTTTAGTTTTTGCAGTGTAAGCAGTGACAAAACTGTGGCAACGGTCACAAGACCAAAGACAAGACACCGTTAGATCCTCATACAAGCTGTAATCCGCGCTGTTACACTTCTACCGCATGCCTTATGTGTGTGTATTAGGATGTTATGTACTGGTGATGGTAGGCCTGTCACTATATAATATTTTGAAGCATGATATATTACTACAGAGAAATATTGTGATAAACTGTAATACTGAAAATCCTTTATGCCACTGTTACAAAGCAGGATAATCATATTAAACCAATTTTTCAATACACAGTATCATTAAAAAGCTTGAACAGCAACAAATTTAAATGGAAATGGAAGAATGAAGCAGTAATTTTCCATAATAAAATATGGTTTATAATTAACCATATTTATTCTACCCTCTACAGCTCAAACTTTACGTTATTACATTAAAATGGCAAAAATCTTCCCACTATTACAAAGATAAAGTGCTCCACTGTTCCAGCTATCATATTGAACGATTAGATGATATAGTAATTATCATGACAGGCCTGGATGGAGGATGGTTGGTGATACGTACGGCAGGCTTTAGTCAGGTACATATGCAAATGTAGTGTTAAAAAGACATCAGGTTTAACAGACTAATTGTGAAAGAAGGAGAGACTGCTGCAGCTGGATTGACCTGTACAAACTGAACATATGGGACCATTAGCTGAAAATGACAAGACTGCAAAGATAATGAGGCAGGATATTTTTAGAAGTTTAAGCTGTACTGTAATCATGATCTCTTCCTCATATGCATTCTTCTATAAATATGCTAAATATAACACACTTTTTACACATTGTTGACCATCACTGTCCTATATCCTATAGAAATGTACATAGTTAGCTTGAAGGAAGAAAATAATTAGCCACAGTATATGTTTATTAGTTTGGCACATCCCTTCACTTTGGTTCTTGTGATAGCATGATCACTTTTTATTTTTTCTCTTCACATTCTACCGCACACTTTGAGCATATTTTAATAAAGAGTTGGGGATGTTTCTGTTAACTTTTTGAAAGATGCTTTTTGTATTTTTATCTATGCATTTGTCTAGAGGGAGATGGGAATTGCCTACGAGCTTCCATGCACAAATGAATTGAAAAATATGATATTGATGGATTGCAGTTACACCTTTTTAAATGAGGTAACCTAATTTGCAAGGATTCAGATCACATGCTCGTTGATAAAAACAACAACAGACAGACACTTCCTCCATCTCTCTTTACCAGCTGTTTTCCCCATGTATATGTAGCTGTATAAAATGTATTTATAGTATGGTGCCTTGTTCAGACAGTTTTCATCTTATCAAGGGCTCTTAAGTCATTGCCATTATTACATATTGTCATTTATTTTGCTTTCTGCTGAATTTAGTGTTAACACATCAAGCCTGGCTGCCGATTGGTTTGAAGATGAGCTGGTTGTTCTATATTGAATTATATTGCTGGCCATACTAAGTCAGTTCATGAGCCCTTACTTCTACCATTGATACAGTTTTCTGCCTATTTGAGTAAGCAAGAACTATTCTGTGTATTGGGGTTTTGATTTGATCATGTAACAGACTCATGATGTACACTTAAGGAAAGTTGTGGTACGTTCTGTTTTTTAATTCCTAATTTTTTAATAAATTGGGGGAAATATGTACATGTTTTGTCTCTATTTTTAGTTAGTAATCAATAATAACACACTATACTGTATCCAATATATCTATTATGCTTTTTTTTTCTTTTCTTTTTTTTGATAGCTCCATAGATTCAAAACAAATGTAATGGAGTGTGTCGAAAACATCTTTTTATGCAAATGTGTGACTTGTCAAAGCCACTGAAGCATGCCACCTGCTCAGAAGAGAAGTTGCGTGGTTGGCAAGTGTCTTGGAGTGTCAGTCTTGGAGAGAAAACATTTGTCACAGAGACAGAAAAAAAATGTTGGGGCTTCTTCTCTGCAGCTTTTGTGGTGAGCCTTTATTTCTCTTTCATATTAGATCACAGTGTCCAAAGTTTTCTTTGCCACTTTGGTAAGATTTGAAAATGGTAATTACTGGTATCTTCAGACTCACATATTGCTGTAGTGGATTAGTTAGGCTGCAATTAAGGCAACAATTAATGCATGTTTAAGTATAGATTTATGTAACTTTTTGGTTGTGAGTCCATCACCCCCTTGTTTCTATGGATATGTTATTGCTCTGCCTGGAATGTTCCACAGTATGACATTAAACAGCTCTACCTTACATTTATTCAATTACAGGAATTTATTGGCTCAAAAATGCCTAGAAAAACTGGCATTCTGACTGTGAGCAGGGTTGCCTCCACAAATCTAACCTTTAACATGGCCTGGTTTGGTCTTCATGAAGATAGAAAGGTTTAATGCCAGACTGAAGCAATAACATCTCCATGGAGACAAGCTTTTGATGGACCCTCCATCTGAAAAGTTACACAGTGCACTTTTAAGAAGTGTATATACATTTTATAACATATTAGCATCTATTCTTGTAATCAGTTGACTCTAACAGTTCTGCTCCAGTGAGCCTGACTTCCTGCCAGAACAGATGGCCGTTGCCTGTTCTGTTTTTAAACTTTAAGCAAACTTACTGTAAATAAATTGTATTATTTAAAGCTGCACTGCACAACTTTTCTTGTGGATGGTCCGCAACATGCTTGTCTCCATGGAGATGTTATTGTGGTGCCAGGAATGTTCCATGGGATGACATTAAAAATATCCATCTAGCATTTATGCATTACGGGTGTCTCTATTGTTCAAAAATACAATAATTGCCTCTGTGAATGGGGCGACTCTCCACAGATCTGCCTTGTAATGTACGATAGTGCTGTAACCTGCTTGTCTGCCTGCCATACTGTGGATCATACTAGACAAAGCACTAAACATTTCCATGGAGACAAGCGTGTGGCTGAATTGGTCCACAAGGGAAATTTTTTGGACACAGTAGCTCACATATTATAATAATAAAGAGTAAAAATATAAATGTTAATAATAAATTCAAAATAAGCAGCAAACATTTGACAGGTGTAATAAATCATACTTATATACATTTATATGTACAAGTAAAAATAAAATACAGGAATATAGAAATACAAATATAAATGTATACAACTTATAACTTTGGCTAACTTTGGCACGATAACAGTTTTTGAACTATGTGTTGTTGTCTAGTGCTTTGTGTGCAGAGTGAGATAACTTTGGAAGCCGATATCCCTTCTTTGAAAGTTAAAGTTGCTTACTCGGTCCGGCTGGAGTGCTGTTTCAACACCACTGGGAAAATAGAGCTCATTTGGATCAAGCAATCAAGAGAAAGTGCAAAGAAAAACATTCTATATGACTCTTTAGGTGACGCTGTAAATAAGACAAACGACTTGGGAGGTGGACAATATCGTGGCATTCTCCACATTCAGTCTACCGCACTGAATGATACTGGCTATTACCGCTGCTTAATCAAAACAGGACCCAATCATGTTTACGTCTATACTCATGGCACTTACCTGCAAGTTTATAGTAAGTACTGAATCTCTGTTTATCTGTATGTGACAAAGGGCGATGGAGTCGTGTGAGCTCTAAATAGGGCTAACACCTCATAAGCCATAAATCTGGTTAACCTTAGTCTATCCATGGGCTGAGTGGCCATGCATTCAGGGTCTTAGTCAACACATCATCAATATTATAGCATAAGGGGCCTATATTGTGCTATTTTCTATGTTTAATGTTGTATCCTCATCAAAAACATACCTAGAGTTGTGTTTTGTTTCTTTCACATACACTTGCACTTTAACACACAAACCCTGCATATTTATAAGCCTCTCTCAACAGAAAACACTCCATTTCATGCCATGTGATAATAAAGGAAATGCTCCACTGTGCTTTTGAACTCAATACACTTTCACTAGAATCTTTTGGATAATTCAGACCTGGAATTGCCCATCTGTACTGAACAAAAGATAAAAGTTGCTGTTAACTTGAAAACTACCACTTCATGGCATCAAAAGGTGAAACTGCATTTTGATCTTTGGGGATGCAGACAGACTAATGATAAAGATGTGAAAAACACGACATTATAACATGGATTAAATCTCAGTATTGCATAATAGAACCTAGTTGTTCAGGTTTAACACACACTGATCAAACTAAAATTAAAGCAACAGTTAAAATTGAACACCAGATTATCCCAGAACATTTTGTCTTCCAAGGTAATGTGTTAGAAGCAGTTGTGGAGATTATAATAAATAAATGCAAGACACACTATGTAACTTTTTGGGTGGATTGCCTGTTAATACCTAATTTCCATGTTACGGCTTTGCTTATATCCCTATATGACATTAAACATAGCCATCTCCATCTCCATGTTCACAATAAAAAGGCATCTTTTTACACAGAAGGCTCACAGTAAATAGGCCAACATGTGTAACTGAATACAAGATCTGTGTTTTAATGCATACATTCCATGAGAAAAGTTACATAGTACAACTTTAAAACCACAGCTACTGACCAACTGCCATCTTAATAGGTGTCATATAAATGGGTGGTCAGTTTTATTAGGCTCTGTATAAAAAGCTACAAAATTACTTCATCCTCTTAGACTAAATTTACTGCAGCATTATTTACTGAAACGTAATCTCACCATCCGCCTTATTTGGATTTAAGTGAGTCAACCTGAATTCTCAAACAATTCACCATTCATGCATTTGTTAAGCTGTAGCTGTTTTTAGACCATAAATCGTATGTTTCTTATATAACACCTAAATCCAGACTTGAAACTTTAATCAGCAAGTTGGCCTTAACATCCCCAAACCACATGGATTCAGGTTGTTTTAAAGACAAACCTTAAAAGATGCCAAGTTTAATACTCTTTTATATTTTTTTTATTCACATTTTGGTCTACATTTTACAGAAACAATCTAACTGAATAAAATACTATTAAAAGGCCCATATTTCTGACCTGTTATAATGTTGTTTCCTGGAGTTGTGTTTTGTTTCATTCAAGCACAAACTCTGCATATTTAGGCTGAGTCCTTCTCTCAGAAAACACTCTGTTCCATGTTGTGATGTCATGTGGTAATACAGAAAGTGCTCCACTGTGTTTTTAAACTCCATACACTTTCACTTAAATTATTTGGATAATTTCAACACTGAAATTTCCAATCTTTAATGAACAAAAGGTAAACGTTAACTTGACAACTAGCACACAGTGGAAGAAAGCAATTTAAAACTAGACTTATAAAAATGTGTTACTCAAACATTTGTGAATGAAAAAAAACACAACTCCAGGTATGTTTTTGATGAGCTCACACGATTAAATTTTGTGTAATATAGGACCTCTAAAATAGGTCTCATGTATATCTGTTGATGTCTGTATTTTTTTCATTATATGATCTGAGACCTTTCTAAAAAATATTGCCAGAATTTTCAATAGACTGTAAATCGTTTGTCATATAACTCCTAAATCCAGACTTGCAACTTTAATCAGCAAGTTGGGCTTTTGTTATTTCCTTTTGCAATACTGTGTACAGACATACCTAAACCACATGAATTCAGTTTGTCTTGAACATAATCCTTTTGTGTACATAGTGCCTCTTGAGAAGACCATAAAACTGAGTGAAAGTGACAAGAATGTTATCCTAATCACAGAGGGGATCCTGCTTTTGTTATGTGTGATCCTGCCATCAGCCGCCCTGCTTGTCAAGGTTATTTTAACACTCATAATCTCTTCTGATACATCCTATTACATTGTAGCAATTGGAGCAGTGGTTGTTTTCCACGGTTTCTCAACAGTGGTAATAACATGCCCCCCCAAGGCTATCAACACACTGAATGAGTAATCCTAAACCAGTTCTTGTACACTCACTGATTGTTGCGTTACACCTCAAACTCTCCTTTGTTGCACAGTTTCTCACGGTTTATCTTGGTATTTCTACAGTCTAAAGACCTGAATGAGCTGGAGAAAAGGAAGGTGCAAAAAGAAGAGGAGAACATATACCAGGTGAAGTGTCTTGAATTTGACGTCAACACTGAAGAGTTCTAGAGGGCTAAAATACCCCTATACTGTGAAAAAAAACAAAAAAAACAGTTGACAGCAACATTTTATTCATTATCTTAAATATTTGTGTTGTATTTAGGGCCTAAATTTGGATGACTGCTATGAAGCATATGATCAGCTTGAACACCTGCAAGGAAATGGCCCATATGAAGATGTGGGAAACAATGAAGACATGCAACTTGAGAAACCTTAGAAGACGCCAAGTTTAATACTCTTTTATATTGTTAATTCACATTTTGGCCTACATTTTACAGAAATAATCTAACTAGTTTGAAAAAAATACCGTTGAAATAGGCTATATATCCTCATGTACATCTTTTTATTTGTTTTGTTTTGCATTTTGATGTCTGTATTCTTTTTCATGATCTCATCTGACCACTTTTTATCAAATATTGTCAGTATTCTCAATGAGCTTGCCTAACTGTACGCTTCTTAATAAATGGGCGGATCTTACTGGTTTATTATTTTGTGATTGGCTACTGGACCGGTGCGCCCTCTGTGATTGGCTGTGGTTTTTAAAAGGGGCGGGTCGTCTGTACTCTCAGGTAGGTTATGAAGCGACCACGGTAAAGGCGGTGCGTAAACAGAGTGGGCGAAGATGGCGTCGAGTAAGAAAAGCAGTGGGCACAGATTAGAAAAAAGCCTGAATGGAAGACGATCGTCCAGATATAAAGAGGGTCCAGTCGGTGAGTGGCTTCCTTTTCCCTCACTGCTGTCCTGCGTGAACATGCGCGCTTTGGTCATCTCCCACTAGCTTGTCTTAGCCGCTGCTACAATAGCTGGCCTGGAAAAGCGTTTTGCATGGGAGACTCCCACTGTGCCAGCTGGCTTCGGGTCTGTAGTTGCTCAGTTTAAGGCTTTGTGCTAGCGGATATGCTATTCAAAATGGTTCCGTGCCATCTTTTGAGATAATTTCCATAGTTAAACACCCATGTTTCCTCTTTATTTCCAACACTAGTTAGTTGTACCGCTACAGCACTGCAAGAGGTGATGTCAAGATATGTCAGAATCACGTTTTTTCTGCAGCCATAGCATGCATTTCCCACACACTCTCATGCTGACTGGACATCTGAATGTAAACGCAGAGACCGCTTGAATATACACCGGAACATCCGTGATTTGCTGATGCATAGGGTGTTGGTTGTGTGTTGCACGGTGAGTTATGAGATTGTAAAAGCGCTTTCATGGACTCACTGGTGACGCGGTCATGAGTTCGCTTATCTGACGTTGAGCCGGTGACCCACAGGGAAAGAAGGCAACAGGCTTGACTGGATGCTACGAGTATTACAACTACCAGTTCCCAACAGAGCTGTAGCATGTTACTCATCTATTGTTATTCCGAGTACAGATTCGAGTGTTCTAGACACAAGCCTTTGAATAGAGAACCAACCGTGTGTCATCTGAGGGTTTCCTAAATTTCCTGGAGCCAAGCATTCCTGGTGCATGGATAAGTGACAGGTAATAAATTAAAGACCACTTACTGCACTTTCAAAACTGTTTTAGGTGTGTATTACCGAAGCAAACCATTGTCCAAAAACTAGTCCCTTTCTATCGAGGTTAATTATTCCCATGAGACTGAGTATGGATTTTACAGATGCAACAACCTTTTATTATAACTTCTTTCATCATTTTATTACCCAGAAGTGTAACTGGATGTTTGGATTCCACATGAGGCTATTCTCTATCAGCATTCTTTTCTGAAATTATTTTTGTGTGTAGGCAGACAAATTTTTAGGATTTGACCGAATACGACCAGCACACACCACCAGTGTAATAATCAGCCTATTGGATTTTTAAAGTCATGATATTTTCTATGTAATATTTGAATTCCACTTAATCTCTTTGTTTGTAGAACTAAATGAACAAAATGAAATGTGTTGTGTGTTCTTTGTGTTTGGCCCAGTGGCGATCATTGTTGCTAGTTTCCTGTTGTTGCCTTGTCTCTGTGAAGGAGCTTGATGTGGGCAAAGGGTCACCAATACAAAATGGCTCTGGAAAAATGTTTACTTTAACTGTTAGACGTCATTTGTTTTGCACCTATTTTTAACATCTGCACGTGAGGTTTCGGGTGTCAGGAGATTACTGTGACAGAGGTGTAAGTTTATCATGGGTCATTCAAAGGTCCAGCTTTCATTGTACAGAAATCTGATAATATGAACGTTATGTTTTGAGTAACAGTTGAATTTGGAAATAATTTTTACCTTCTTTTTGTCTTTTAACACATGCTATGTGAAATACATTTTAAAGAAACTGTATGTAGCCTGTGCTCTTACAGTTTAAAAAAAAGATACTACAATCACAACCGGACCTCATGTAAAAGCTCAGAACCTCTAAGAATTCCTTCACTGATTCGCAGAGGCTGCACTAGCACAGATTATGATTGGCTGCATGTGCTGGGGTTTAGGTAGTGATCATTCAGAGGAAGTCATTTTAGGTTTAAATCTGGATTTCAGCATTGAAACTGGCTACCAAAATGAGAGACTCATGTGAAACTCATTCTCCTATCTGATTGGATAATCAGCTTGAAAACAAAAGTACCAAACGATGACGTAAAACTTGGCCATCATATTCAATGTTTTGTAAATAAGAATAAATCAACATTGCATCTGTTCTCAATAAGGGCTATATTTGATTTGAACATATCTACCTCATAACCAGAGACACAGATGGGCCATGTTTATGGGATTTGAAATCAAAATCATGCAGTTGCTTTAACATTTTAATAATCTGCATGCACACCAACAGTCTGATCATTCTCTTTTTTGGGGGGGTTGCTAAAGGTATCAAATATTGTGCTGCATAAAACAGCTTGCTACAATATAATGACAATTCTGCCCCTGACAACATAAGTGTATAGAATTACAATCCCAATCACAACAAAATACCAAGTTATAAGATGAATACAATTCAATTAGCTTTCAATTTTGATGTGTTTGTTTTATATACTCTGTACTTAGAGCCATATGTATTCACTCTGAAAACTGTTTACGCTAGATAATAACAGTTATTAATGAGGATATGTCATTATTATCACTTGACACAATGGTCAACACCGACATCTTGAATATTGTAAAACAACTCATTGTTGAATCTTATGACTATTATTAACTCCACTGGTTTAAGTGCGTAATCGATCATGCTTTTCAGCCTAAGTACTGTCAACATGTATCAGCAAGAGATCAGGCCAAAGGGATATGCTTCTTTTGTAATAAATGGCAGAAAGACCATATTGTATGTTCTTTTCATAACAGTTAGCCACTAGATTTTCTCAAGTGTTCAGTGTTCAAGCCTCCATTGTTAAACAGCTGTGGATGCATTGTCAATCGCAATAATAGACACATGATGTGGTTAAGCCTTTAAATAGATTATATGCTTTATATTGAGCTAATGGACATAACAGTAATGCTAATAAATCTACTTAACAACACAAGCATCATGTACAATGCAGTTTACAGTTAGGATGACCTCTTTAAATGAAAGGGGTCTTTTAGAAAATCAAGGTAAATAATTCCTGTTTAGATTTGTCATCGTCATGTTTGTTTTTCTCAGAGCTTAGGACAGTCCAATTAGGTTGAAGGTCGCTGAAAGGAAAGAACCAATGACAGAGGAGTGCACAGAATGAGAAGTGAACCAGAGCAGTGTTGTCAACCTCCCAGAACGCTTATAAGATCAGGATGAACAGAGTGTGAGCCAAAAAACACAAGGGAGCAACTAGAACAAAAGTGCTATCTTTGTGTGTGCCACCCTTCCCCGCTCTCTCTCATTCTGTGTCTCTTTTTATCCATGCTGGCGCTGCTTTTGCAGAGAGGATACTGACAAGGACAAAGCCTTGAACTCACATGCCGGTAAAGCAAACTTTTCACATTTTTCTTGCTGATTCTTATTAGTTGCCTCGGTAGATTTCAGTAGTAGTACATGAGTGTCTAGAGGCAGTTTACTGTGTACAATAAATCCATACTGTCCTGTCTGTTAGTCCCCAGGGAGTCATTACAGGCCTGTAAAGTCACTGATGCTGCGTGTTGTACATGACTTATTTATACCAGCTTTCATCCATCTTTAATGCAGAGAGACAAGGTGCAACTTAACGGACGCAGTGGGCTTACAGTGACAAATAATGTCTGCTTCACAAAGGGGGGGGTGCACCATCAGGCTAAGTGTATTATTGATAAATGTCAGGGTAGAATTTAGTAGATTAAACCTGACTTTGTCTGATGACACAGAATCAATAAGGTAAGTGTCTGCATTGTAAGTTTTCCTATCTCCTGCTTCATTTGAATGGCTCATGCTAAACCCAGAAGGACTGCTGTGGTGTATTTGAATATCTGATAAGAAGACCGCGCTTAACTTGCACAGAATTTACATAAGCTCTCTGCAGTTAGACAAGGCAAGGGCATGCACAACCTCTGATATTATTAACAAATTTTGTAGAGGATCATATGGTCACTTAAGTTTTAACGAAGAGTTTACAAATAGGTCAAAGGTAACACAATGTGCATAAATGGCAAAATGTTCTCATCTAGTTCCTGTTTTTTACAACACTTCCCTTTGCTTAATTTAACCCTCGCTCATCCAGTTTAAAATCTGAAGTCACTGATGGATCTGAGTAAGGCATTTGTGTATGGATTTTTATGGGTATTGCAACTTTGGTGCTAAATGTTACTATCTCACAAAGTAATTATTGTTATACTATTGAGTCTCCCTTGAAGTCATGAGATTAGCCTATATCAGATAGAGTATTCTTTTCATAAATTGCATTTTCATACTGTATTAGCCTTTGTAGAACTAGATACCGTAGTGGAGGACACGTGCTTAAAACATATCTGAACTGTACTCACACATTAACTGAGGTAAGTGTTTATTGACTTAAACTGTGATGTAACTGACAGCATGGCATCAATCCTGCTTTTTAAAGTCCTGTATTGTGCAAAACTGACTCTTGTGAGCTTTACCTCCTCAAAAACATCCCTGGAGTTGTGTTTTGTTTCATTCACACGTACAATATTTGAGTAACCATTTATTATTAGTTTGTCTACATCTCCAAGGGTCAAAATGATCTGTTCCACCTTGTAATGTCATGTAGTGGTAGTTTTCAAGTTAACTGCTGCTTTTACCTTTTTGTTCAGTTGGGACAGAAGCAAAATATTTGGAGTTTAAAAACACAGTGGAGCACTTCCTGTATTACCACATGGCATAACAGGTGAAATAGTGAGTGAGAGTAAGAGTGTTTTCTATAGTGGAGAAGAACTCAGCCTAAATATGCAGGGTTTGTGTGTTAAACATATGTGAAACAAATGAAACAAAACACAGCTCCTGGTATGTTTTTGATAAGGAAACATAGATCAGAAAATTGTGTAATATGGCCCTTCCGACACAGATATGGAGGAATCTTAGAGGATACTGATAATTCACTGTTGTGGAAACACAGGTCGCGAGTATCTTGGCAGTGACTCCCACAGTTACAATGGTACTCCAGTGGGACTATGCCTCCACAGCACAGTAGAAGATAACCCTTTAAAACATGGCTGTGTGTGTAATCAGATGGAGTCACTGGGGTTTTGTGCCTATTTTTTGTCTTTTATGCAAATCCATGTTTGTTCCCAGCAGTTTCCAATTGGTAAACAGTCCGCTGCTTTTCCCTTCTGTTCCATGTACTGCATGTCAGTGTAAATCTTACTGGATTTTCTCTGCTCAAGCTGGATTTCCATCATTTAATTTTAAGGCTTGCTCAACACGTTTTAATCAATGAGCTTACATGCACCAGGCTATGGGGGATTAGTTAATAGGAGGTAGAGAAATCTCACAATGATATGCCTTATACAAGTCCTTCAGGATTATATGTGTGGTGAATTGGTGCCAATGTCAGTGTCTGTCTTCAGACTCTTCACACTTGAGCTGTGTGAATAATCGACCACTGTAGAGACTCTGGTCCGTAGCTGTGAGCATGTACTTCAGGCACATGGGACCTCAGGCGTTAATGTGTAAAGTAATAACATGCATAAGACTTCTGCATTTGTTTGCTGTCTAAAATGTAAAATGCATTAACAATTGGTTTTAATCAGTTTAATTTCTCAATTTATTTTGCCTACTTTTTGTCTTTGCACTTGCAGTCATGGACACCAAGGCAGTGTTTGCAGCCCTGTACAGCGTATGTGAGGAGAATGCCTCCTTTTTTTCGGGAGGAGCCAAGGGCTCCCAGGGTGATGCTGCACGGAGACTGGTGGAAGTCATGAACCTGATCCAGGAGCACGCCCGCAGCCTGGAGCCTGTCGTCACCGGCTTCTCGGCAGTCTACCATCATTTTGACTTTGATCCACACATACCAGCCAACGGCTACCGCTCACTGGTCAAGGTACTACTGATGTTTACCCGACACAGAGAGCACTCAGTGCACCTTTAGTTTACCTACTTCATTTATATCATGTTGTAAATTTTAACACTAATTCAACCACAGCTACAAATGAATTCCTCTTTGTTTCCACATGTTTGAGCCTTCTCATCTCTTACCTCACCGACTAATCTGTATCACCCTGAGGCACAGGGCTGTTAACAGGTTCCTGTTCTGTCCTATGATCGCACACTTACTTTTCTGACTACAACTCGCACAACAATATTATCGTTTCTTGCTAACATTTCAAAACCTGCAATTCTACTAAATGTTTTAAAATAGATTATTGAGGTCCAGTTAATATTTTTGTTATTACTATGAGTTTATATGGTGATTATTTATTTATGTAACCAGAAGTTAAGTAAATTTCATTTATTTTTATAGGTAGTGAGATGCTGCCTTCTGCACATCATCCACAAGGGGCGCTACATCAGTGTCAACAGGCGCAGTATCTTCTTTCGTGTGGCACACAATGCTGGAGAAATGGAGGCCTACTGCAATGCCCTCTGCCAGCTGCGTGCCCTGCTCTACTTAGCCCAGCGCATGCTCCACGACAACAGCCATGGCAACCTTTTCTTTCATGACGAAAGTGGACTTAGTGAGAGCTTTGTCCGAGAGTACGCATCCATGCACAAAGGCTGCTTCTATGGCCGCTGTCTAGGCTTTCAGGTGAGATAAAAGGGTGGGAAATATTTGAGATTATTGCTTAAATTGCCCATATTATGCTATTTTATTATGTGTATTATATTTATTAGTGTTTTAATTAGGGGTGTCAAATTATCGTGTTAATTGCGATTAATTAATTACAGTCATATTTAGCGCGTTATGTTTTTTTAATCGCGTTAATCTCATTTTTAATCTCTAACTTTAGTGTTTCTGTATGTGAGTTTCTTTATTATAAAACCTGTTTTTATGTGTTGTTGGGACAACAACACACACACACACAAAACACATTTATACATTTTTTTATTTCGGTAATTCCACTCATTGCTGGAAAGCCACACAAAACGCGCGCAGTAACAGCGATGTAAACGTCATGTTAACGTTGGCGGCGTCAGTCGCACAATGGACGAGGTCGAAGAGCCAGTAGAACAGAGTCAGCAGCGCACAGGTAAAAACACATTCGTGTCTTGGAAATTATTCTCCCGACGTGAAATATAAAAGAAAATAACAAATATAATATCGCCTGAAAACAACCTGCATAGGCTCATGATGTCTGCACTACTGTCCTATAGTGACCTGCCACATGAGGGGACACACACACAAACACACACAAACAAACACACACCTTCATCATCGTCATTAACCTGAGAAACGCGCAGACCACGTTTCCTTCCGTAGACACTGCGCGGACATCGCTGTCCTCCCGTGAGCCGCGTGTGGATCGTGTTTTCTCGCGTACGCTGCGTAAACCGCGCTTCCTCCTGTGCGCCTCTAAACCAGGACTAAAACCAGGACTAAAACCAGGACTAAACCAGGACTAAAACCAGGACTAAAACCAGGACTAAAACCAGGACTAAAACCAGGACTAACACCAGGACTAAAACCAGGACTAAAACCAGGACTAACACCAGGACTAACACCAGGACTAACACCAGGACTAACACCAGGACTAACACCAGGACTAACACCAGGACTAACACCAGGACTAACACCAGGACTAACACCAGGACTAACACCAGGACTAACACCAGGACTAACACCAGGACTAACACCAGGACTAACACCAGGACTAACACCAGGACTAAAACCAGTGATCTCATATATATTTCTCTATCAATAATATTTTTAATATGGTTAAGGAAAGACTGGACTTTTTATTGTCTTTAAGTACACAAAAGTTATTATGTTCAGATTTCCTCATCCTTGCTACTTTACAACAAACAGTTTCTTATTCATGGAGACTTGGGCTCAACAGCCAAATTGGAGAGATTTGTTAAACAATAAATGACTTTATAAAGTCACTTTTTTAAATCTATATTAGTCTTTTGATCTGCCACAATAATGTAATAATGAATTTAAATGAAAATACCTCAAATTGAAGGCTTTTCTCAGCAATTTTTAGGTGAGATTAAAATTAGATTAATTAGATTAATTAATTACAGATCATAATTAATTAATCTCTCAATTTTTTTAATCGCATGACAGCACTAGTTTTAATGTTGTTTCCTGATCATTAACATACCTAGAGACAAACAGAAAACCCTCTGTTCCACCTTGTGATGTCATAATACAATACAGGAAGTGCTCCACTGTGTTTTTAATCTTCATATACCTTCACTGTTATTTGGATAATTTCAACCCTGGAACTGTCCATTTTCACTGAACTAAAGTTGGCTGTTATCTTTAAAACTCCCACTACATGGAAATAAAGACAGCCTAATAATGCTGGATTACTCAAACATGTGTGAATGAAACAAAACAACATTATAACATGACTTAAAGCTCACAAGAATCCGTTATCTTGTCTGTTCAGTTCACTCCAGCCATTCGCCCGTGTCTACAGACCATTGCTATTGGCCTTGTGGCATTTGGTGAAAACTACAAGCGGCACCAGTCCGGAATAGGTCAGTGTGCTCACTTTTCCCATTTCCCAAAGTAAATTTTCATGCATAGACTGCTCTCACCCCCTGCTGCTCTTACATGCGCCTTAGCCCTTAACTGGGCACCTGTTTGATGTGGTAGATGCTTTCATCCATCTGAAGCTAATAGCTGACTAGTGTCCTCTATAGATGCCAGTGTTTTGAGCTCTTTTATGTATAGATCTTAGATAGAATGGACCTGTATCCTTACACAGACCAGTATAAATATTTCATTTCAAAAAGCTTTCATGGTCTTTGTGCTCTGTACTGCGTCACAGTGGAGTCAGGAGGTATTGCACCATACGGTGAGTTGCACTAACCCTTCATCACTCTAACCTGTGGTGTTATAGTCTGGATTTTACTCCAAAATATTCCTCGATGCTCTTCTCTATACAGCACATGCATTTTTAAATTCAGTCATACTTTCTGAACACTCAAAATTATTTCTTAAAAAAAAAAAAAAAAATTATTAAAAAAATACAATTTCTTAAAATGATTTTGTGTAGCAGCCTTGAGTCTTTACAACTGATTTAAAATGCATGTTTTGGTCATTTCTGGACACTGTGAATTCCAAATTACATATCACAATTCTAGAATAATGCTGTCCTGATGATAGTATTATCATTGTTATAATCTGTGTGTTTGATTTACATTTTGATCAAAACTAAACACTTTTCAAAATGTCTCATTATGACTTTGTGCTTCCATAGGTGTAGCTGCCAGTTCATTTTTTACCTCAGGGAAGTATGCTATTGACCCAGAGTTGAGAGGGGCAGAATTTGAGCGCATAACCCAGAACTTGGATGTCCATTTTTGGAAGGCCTTCTGGAACATTACTGAGACAGAGGTCTTATCTGTAAGTAAAAATGTACACACAGCATTTTACCAATCTCCTCACCACATAACTGTTTTAATTTTTTAACTGCCAGACCAAAAATATCCATTTGTAGGATTAATGATTTATTTATGTTGCCTCTCCACAACTTGATCTCTAACTTTTGTCTTTCTGTCTGAAATTTTCTTTTTTTCTACTCTTGCTCTCTGTTCCCCCCACGCAGAGTCTGGCCAGTATGACATCCACAACTGTTAAGGTGAACCGTGCCCTTTCCGTGCCCCCTATACCCTTTGACCTCCCACTGGTAGCCAATCACGGAGCCTCTGTAACCATCGCTCCACCGTCTGCACATATTGGCTCTGCCCCAGTTCAGATGAGACTCATTTCATATGACCTGCGTGAAGGACAGGTACGTTACACCCAGTTTTGGTGGCCATATAAAAATGACTTATTATCCAGACTGTTTTAAGTTTTTAGAAATTGTAAAGATAGTCATTCAGTGTATGATTTTCAAGCCCTGTGGCACCATAGTTACTTTTCCTGCTCGTTAGTTTGTAACTCTCCGAGGAAGTTCTCGTACTTTGTCTGCACTCTGGCTCTTAACCAGATAGGCTATCAGCAGACACTTTTTAGCCGTTGATCTCGCTCCAAAACAACAATATTGTCCCTTTTAACAATGTGGGCTTACATCAGCACAAAACCCCAGCCTTGGCCTCACTTCCTCTCCGATAGTTTCTCTTAATGAATTAAAATTAGCATGTGTTTGGACACCCACAGGAAAATCTGGCAGCCAGAAAATTAATTGTAGAGTTTTATGCAGTGGGTTATGATATTTTTCATTTTTCTTCTCAGGATAGTGAGATGTTGCTGTCTTTGTCCCGCTCTGATGGGGGCGCTCTCTCTCTGTCACTGGGGCTGAAGACCAAGAGACTGCCCTCATCTCCCTGCCTGTTGATCCATTTTCATGGGGGAGGATTTGTTGCTCAGACTTCCAAGTCTCATGAGGTGAGAATTTTACTTTGTCTTTGGTTATTGTCATTCTGTCCATAAACAAGACAATGATAGAAAAACATAAATGTCTGAGTCTTTATGGTAGAGATGTTGCATTTCCTGTTTACTCTTTCTGCTGTGTCTACATTACATTTATATTAGCTCTGTGCAGTTGTTGGCCTTCTTCTAAGTAAAGGCAGACATGACAGTGTGAAATTGCCTTGGACATAGGCATCCTTGATCTGCAGCTGCATAGCAACCAGAGGATGAGAGAGAGCAGTCACAGAAGGGGCGAGCAGGGCTGTCATGTTGAATTAAGGCCCGGCTGTACAACCTTAGAGCAGGATTACCCCAAGCTCTAATGGAAGACATTTTGAACTATCCTTTTGCTTTTGGGCTTGACTTTGACTGCATTCTCTTCTTTTCCTAATCTTACAAATGTTTAACCTTTTTATGTTTGCAAGCATTACACTAGGAGCTACATCCATGGGGCATACAAAGTTTCTCTAAGAAGTTAGTGATTACAGTTCACTGAACAAGGCCCCTAATATAAATATCCTTGAAGCTGCTTGACTCTTTGGTATTAATCATACTGTAGCTATAGATTGCCGTTCAGTTGTTACATGCTTAGCATTTATGAGATGCAATAAATTTTTCTTGACATAACAGATAAGATTAAAGGTTATCTTTTAAGCTTTTATAATTTGTTCTGGAGTTGAACACTCTGTTCTACAATTTGACCTTAATCAGTGATAATAGAGAAAGTACTTCTGTGTTGTTTAAAGTAAATACACTGGAGTCCTGCTCTTTATTCCTGTTGTAAAATTGCTTTCTAATCTGACACAGGGGAAAGAAAAACTTTGTGTGGGTATGCAAGAATTAAGTCAGCATGGACTCTTTCTATAGTACCTAAATATTTTTCAGTTTGACATGTGCCCATAGTAGAAATGGTGTTTCCTTGTTTAAAGTGCTGTGTGCCTGTTTCACAGCCTTACCTGAAGGGCTGGTCCCAGGACCTGGGTGTGCCCATCCTCTCAGTGGACTACTCTCTGGCTCCTGAGGCGCCTTTTCCCCGGGCCTTGGAGGAGTGTTTCTACGCATACTGTTGGGCTTTACGGAACCACCATTTACTGGGTAATTCACTCAATTGCACAGTTGTGTTTTTATGATTTCAGAATCAGTTTTCTGAACAAAACTATACTCCCTCTATTTTCTTTTCAGGGTGGACTGGGGAGAAAGTGTGCCTGGTTGGAGACAGTGCTGGAGGAAACTTGTGTGTGACAGTATCGATGCGAGCGGCTGCCTTTGGCGTGCGGATGCCAGATGGCATTGTGGCAGCCTACCCTGCCACCCTGCTGACTGCCTACGCCTCACCCTCCCGCCTGCTCACACTTATGGATCCCCTGCTGCCACTCAGTGTACTCTCCAGGTGTCTCAGCGCCTACGCAGGTACACACATCTACATCTCTGTGAGAAGGAAGCCAGCTCTACTTTCTCCCCCTAAAAAACTGCTGCATGTTTGCTTTATTCACTACACTACCTTTACCTGGAATTTCATTATGGAGGTTTTGTATCAGTCAAATGTTTTAAGCAATTACAATACATTACCAACCATAAGTTATTGCTTTTACATAAATGTAACCCTATACCAAATGTATTCATAGAGGTAAAAATTTTGTCATTTGTGCCTTCACAAGAAAAGTGAAGATGTTAAACGCCCTCTGTTGTTGTTCTTGTGCAGGTAATGAGCCACAGGCAGAGAAGCAGGTGGAGAAGGCCAGCACTCTGAGCTTGGTGAGGAGAGACACTGCACTGCTGCTCAAAGACTTCCGACAGGGAGCGTCCAACTGGATCCACTCTCTGCTGGATTCAAACAAAGGCTCCTCCGAGCCCATTGCAGCTGCAGAGCCAGCAGCCTCAGGTACACCTCCACTCATCACATCAAGTCTTGCTGCTTGTTATGCACTCACACACTCAGTGCTATGTGCTTTTGTCTGTTGGCACGATGATACAAACTGAATAGTAGAATTATTCATATATTACAATACTTTCAGGAAAGTTATGTGACAAGTTTTTTTTTTGTTCCAGAACAGGCCTCTTTTTTGAAGGATTTTTTTTTTACAAAAATACAATTTTGATAAAAGCCATTATAAGATACAGATATGAAAAAAAATTAAATTCTTTCCTCAATGATCAATCCTGTTATTGAATATTATTATATTATGCATTATTAAAGCATATACAAACTTCTAATTGACATTTGGAAGGGGAAATTTGATCATTTTTAGGTCAAAGTCTGAATTGTCTGCAGACTTCAGACTTAGTAAGCAGACTGCAGTCTGAATTCTGACAGAGGATGTGGACCTCCCAATTAAAATGACCCAAGCATATCATTAATGGTTACAAATGACTGAATCTCAAACTTGATTAAAACTCATTTCACAGCCCTGGATTGCTGTTTTTAGATCCTTTTTAAACTGCAGCAAGTGTGCTCCCCTCCCCATGTGAAGGAGAAATATCATGAATTCTTTACTTAACATTCAGTTCAACACATTATGGCTGCTTCCCACCCATTGAACAACGCACCTCATCCTATTTATATCAGTGTACGTCTCAGGAGATGAACAGCCTTAACAATATTTTTTCATTGCAGCCACTGTAAATCTGCAGCAAATAGTGATTTCCCCAGTGTCCAACTGCAAGTCAGAACGAATGATACACCATTGGTGGGTGTACATTATTAACAGACAATCACGGCACTGAGATGGTTTCTTTAAGAGATTGGATATTTGTGGTGCTTATTAGGAAAAACAGTTATACCCACTCTCTCGCGTTGCTTTGTAAACAGGACATTGGCCTCACCACCATAGCAGTCTTTTAATTTCCTCCACCCACTTTTCATTTCTTGCTACTATACACATGTATTTGCATTTCTGCCTAGTTGCCTGTATTTGTAAGTTAAAATGATGATAAAGAAGCACATAGAAGGAGTGACTGTGTGCCAATAGTTTTCTCAGGTTTTTCTTATCCCTGTAGTTCTTAAGTGTCCTGTCCATCTCTCCTCCTCCTCTAGACTCTGTGAGGAAGAGCATATCTGAGGCAGCCATCTCTTCTCCTCACGCTGACCCTCCTGTGCCCTCGGAGACCTCGGCGTTCTCAACCAGGAAATTATCTGTGAAGAGCCAGACATGCCAGGACCTGGGATCACACAACAACTGCATTTCCCAGAGTACACCATTACTGAGTGTTATAGAGGATCCTGTAAGTCATGCTCACCATGTTTGTTGCCATCTAACACAGCCTGAAAACACAACACAAACGTGGGGAGATTCTGATTAGTGAAGTATGATCAACTGATTTGATAATCAGGCCTTTGTAGATAAAATGAATCCAGCACTCTTCTCTTGATAATTTTAGCTTTCATGCTGCTGAAGACATTTTGTTGTAGAGCCAAAACAAAGCCTTATTAACTGTATAATGTATACTGAAGTGCCATTTATGAACAACAGCCCAAATTTATTGGTGATGGAAATTAGTCTATATTTATAGAAGGAAAAAAAAAAAAAAAACTGTTATCCGTAATTACATCCATGCCATATTTGGAAGTAAAATGCCTGCTTGTATATGAACTAACCCTACACGTTGACGCAATGCAGTTACATATTTCTTCTCTCCTTTTTCAGATTGTTGATGTAAATTTTTACCTTTCAAAAGAGGATGATCCCTCAATGGCCGTTGACCTGTCCTCTGTGGCTATACCACCACCTGCTGGTGAGGAAGGCTTTGAGTCTGAGCACCCAAGGGAGTTTCCTCTGGGCTTTGAGCCTCTGCGTTCAGAGCAGCTGGCTGAGATGAGGCTGCACAGCTCTCCTGTGGTCAAGGATCCCTTCTGCTCCCCTCTGCTGGCCCCCGATAACATGCTCAAAGGACTGCCTCCTGTACACTTAGTCGTGAGTACTGTTTCTGCTTTAGGATTGGACAGAATATTCTGTTTAATATTACTATTTGAGTCAGTTCTCACACTGAATATAAATAAACATGTATATTTTATAATAATTGCTTTTTCTATATCTGGTGTTGCTGATACTGTTTGTTGTTGTATTAGCACGCACAGAGATGTCCTTAAGTTATGGATAAAAAGCAGTTGAAAGTTGCACGAGTGCTGTCAATATCAATGATGAGTTTAATGGCATATTCAATAGCTGGAAGTACTCTGCCAGAATACCCAAAATTACATGCATGGCTTGCTTCTCTGTTTCTTGGCCTTAGACACTTGTTGAACATTCCTGACATAGCTATAAGACTTTTAAATGAGGTTTCATACTACCTTCTCTCCCCTCTCAGGCCTGTGCTCTGGACCCCATGCTGGATGACTCTGTGATGTTCGCCAAACGCCTGAGGAACATTCAGCATCCCGTCACTCTGTGTGTTGTGGACGATCTCCCGCACGGTTTCCTCAGCCTCTCTCAGCTCTCCAGAGAGACTCGTGAGGCTGCCAACGTCTGCGCCGAGAGAATCCGTGCAGTCTTCACCCAGAACACGCCACCAGAGCCACGGAAGCACCGCAAGCTGGAACGGACAGATAGGGGTGTGGCCAATCCACAGCCTGATGCACTGTTTGTAAACCCTATTAATGAAATGGAGGAGGCCATGGGGAGAGGAGGGAAGATTGCTGATGGAGAGGACTTGGTTGCTGTGGTAGCCCAGAACAACACTGAAGCTGGAGGGGTTGGAGCATAGCTTGGATAAAGTAGGGGCCCAAGGTTTACTAAGAGAATAAATGGAAAGTCATATGAAAGTCATGCAAAAAACAATAATGTTTAAAAAAAAAAAAGAGTGAGTAACCAAGTTGAATTGGATAGTGCTGGACAAAATGCATCTGTTGTAGTAGCAGAACAAATGAATATACCAAAAAGACTGTCACATTTTAGATAATCATTAATACGATTGCTGCTATGTAGATCAACATTGCTGCACTGTTGGACCAGACTGGCTGTGAACACTGTGGAGCTGGAAGTTTAAGATACTGTAAGCCTTGTACACAAATGTGGAGACGCGTTCTGAATAGGGTGATTTCTTCCTGTTCTCAGCTGTCGTTGGTGGTTTTAATGACAGTGGCAGGCACACTATATGCTTCTGTACAGAGGCATCCGCATCAAAATGGCCACTTGTCCGTTAGGAGCCACTCTAAATCACACTCAATAACCTCACATTGTGGTTTCCATTCGGCCACTTTGGCAGGCAATATGGCTCACTTTGTGTTGAGTTGCTCTGCTTCTGGTCCCAAATGGAATTACACATTTGAAACTGAACAGACCCAATTGTTCAGAGCCAGAGCTATTCATTTACTAAGTATGTGCTGCAGTTTATAATTTACCATATTTTATTCTATGCTGTAGCGTTTATTTGTTTTAACATATTTTATTACTGTATGTTGCAAAGTCATTGTAGTTTACTTTGACTTGTACATTACTTTATATTTTATGTAATCATATGCTGATTTTACACTTAAGTATTAAGTTGTTTTTTATCTTCATTCATAGTCAGTAGGGCATACTGATTTAACTATGAAACATTGCATAGGGCCATTCCATATGTATACACTATCTGTACTGCTGTTAAAGGTGCACTACATAACTTTTTGGTTGGGGGTCCATCCCCTGCTTGTTTTCTATAGGCTCTGCCTGGAATGTTCCACAATATGGCATTAAACAGCTCTACCTTACATTTATTCAATTATAGGTGGTTTTATAGCTCAAAAATACTTGGAAAAACAGGTATTCTGATTGTGAGCAGGGTTGTATCTCGACACATCTGACATGTAACTTGGTCTGGTTTGGTCTCCATGAAGATCGAAAAGTTCAGTACTATACTGTGAAACATTCCAGACAAAGCAATAACTTTTCCATGGAGAAAAGTATTTAACTGACCCTCCATGAGAAACCTTACATTATATACCTTTAATGCAAACTGAATTACATATCCTAGCTCTTTGGATATAGAGTTTAATACTTTGCAGCAAGCAGTAATGTCTAAGTTCATACATTCTCCCTATTAGCTGTAAGTATTGTGCTATAAATGAACTGTCCTTTTGTGAGGTCATTTCCTTCTATCAGGTCCAACTAAATATAGCTTCGGACAGTGTTGCTGTTGTCACGCCCTTGCCTAGTAACAGGGCTGAGGTTGCCAGGTCTGTGGAGAAGGATGCTGTGTGATGAATAGGATTTAGCAGAATCTCTGAGTGCAGAGAAATCCTTGCTGTGGTGAAGTGCCGGATTTTCAGCAGCGAAGTCATGCTACAGGATTAGACCTTGCTCGTTTCTGTCAGCTCCCACTACTTACGGCAATATTTTTAGTCATAGTGATGGAAAGAACCAGGACTCGGGAGAAAGGAAAGTAATGTACTCTTTTCAAGAAGTTAGACTGGAAGTTTGTGCTTGGTTTGGTTTTGGTGCTTTTGCTGTTAGGCCTGTCACAATAATTACCATATTGACTTATCATTCAATACATGACAGATGGAAATATAAATTATATATAATTATATATACATATATATATATATATATGTATAGGTGTATATATATGTGTGTGTATATATATATATGTGTGTGTGTATATATATATATATATATATATATATATATATATGTGTGTATATATATATATATATATATATATATGTGTATATATGTATATATATATATGTGTATATATGTGTGTATATATATATATATATATATATATATGTATATATATGTATATATGTATGTATTGGTTCAGTATTTATTGTCTGTACAATTCTTTCTTTCTTTACTTGGAAATTTCAGTTTTTTTTGTATTTTTTTGTTTTTTATTTGATAAAATTTGAGCCACCAACGGTTGAATTAATAACTTCTATGACTTATTACAGATGCGAAGTACTAAAGTATTTCATTCTGCTTTTTATTTATTACACCTCATGTTTTTTTTAGAATATTTTTTGTGGTTTAAATCTGCTCTTGGGTTATTCTGGCAGTGGCATAAATTAGTTTCAGTATTATCAGTTATCTTCTATAATTTCTTCAGCAATATATCATGTTTCAAAATTTGTTATCGTGACAGGCCTATTTGCTGTAGTAGCTTGGTCACTCTTGCAGTTTAATAGGAGCATATGCGTCACTAGCCACTTGGTGCTTTTGTGTGGTGCGTGTGGTCCAGAGTGACTTGGGTTGCGCTAAATTGAGATGACCGCAGACCCTGGCCTGTGCTATTGTTTGTGTATCTTTTTACAGCTTTAATGGCACTTAGCAGACAAGCAGCTTTTCATTGGTGGTCCGTGATCTTTGGAGGATTGTGGCTTTAGTCTGTGGTAGGCGAAAGCTTTACCTCTTATAAAACCCCTATTCTTTGTGCAAATATGTGTGCAAAAGCCATGTCATCATAACTTGACCTTTTATTGGTTTTATCATTTTACACTAAGCCTTTGACTGCTGCTTTAATATGCAATGTTAAGTATGGCTCAAATCCTTCAATAAGATGGCTGGTAGAATTTGCTTGTGCAAAATGACAAATTACCTCACTGATAGGTAGGCAATAGGCATATTAAGTATATCTATTTGTGTTACTGACTCTAACATTTCCGTGGTCTGTTATTCCTCCAGAGGGTTTCAACTCAGAATCTGTGACTCAACATTATAGCCAATGCACTTTATTCACCAGCTAGTGTTGCTTTGTGGAGGTGCATGTCAATGTCAGACCTCCCAACCACTGTGATGGCTGAAATGGAATTCACTGTACAAAAATGTTCCATATAGTTTCAATAGCCTTAAAGCCATAGCCTGGAACCAGCTGTTTTAAGTAACCTTCATTTCTTTTTTTTGACATTTTATTTTATTATACACCACAAGTGCAAACCTGTGTAAAAAGAATGTATCGGATGTTGTAGATAATTTATTGTCTTGTTTCTCAGATTGCAAGTGAGTTTCATTGTGTGTTTGCAGGTTTCAAGTATGTTTCCATACACTGATGGAATTCATTGTTGTCTAAATAAATATATTCTTGAATCTCCATAAATATGCCTGTACCAATAAATGTCTCTCTGATGAGTGCAGTATCATTCTGTGCAAGAGCCAGACTCATCTACGCGTGTCTGAGGAGGTTCATTAAGTGTGTGACCTCTGATCAAAAAAAAAATGACTGTAATCCCTGATGGCATTTTTCACATGGACGTGCCGCATCTCCAAGGCACGAGCACAAACGTGTGCGCGCATGTGTGCCCCTCTCTATCCGGATAAACGGGGCCACAATACATCCATTAACGGGGGACGACGACGTGAACGCGCGGGCTCTCTCTCTCCTGCGCGTTCCCGACTCCCGTCTCATCCAGTGCTCGATGCGCGCCTCCTCTCGAGTAGCCGAAGTGCAGTCGGAGCCCAGACGAGCGACAGCGGGGGACAGGGAAAGATGGAGGGGAGGCTCGGGGAGAGACTCCTGTGGCTGACCGTGCTGTCCAGCGTTCTTTGTGTGGATTTAGCTCTCGGCAAATATGTCAAAGGCATCGTCGACACCAAAGAGGTGAGTATGGTGTGATTCTCTTCTCAATGTTGCCGCTTGCGACAGTGATACTGATACATTGAGGGGACTACTGCGCATTTGCTCGCAGGTGTCCGCGGTGAACTGTACGCAAGGAGATGAAAGGACTCAAAGCTGTAGCGTACGCCAACGTTTGATTAGGCTACTATATGGCTAAAGCGAGGCTCTGTCTTTTCCAGCTAATGCGCGCGTCTGCATGCGTTTGGGTGACGTATTATTATCCCCTAATTTCCATCGGCTATGTTGGACAGATGTGCCGTGGATCCCGTTTGTAAAGTGACGCGGTAAAGTCTTAAGAATCGCTCCTTTGAGCCTGTCCGATGTTGTGCTGTGGCGCTCTCTTTGGGGCTGGTCGTTACAGGTGTGCGTCATGTGCTGTAGCGGACAGCGGCTTGTTTTGAGACGGCTTGGTGCACGCCGCTGCTCACTGTGTTCTGGGGCTCTCACCCATCAGTGCTGACATCACTGCAGGACTGACACATCCTCTTCAAATATTGTCAGTGTTGGAGATGTGCAGTCTAGCCAATGTCAGGAGTTTGGGTATCAAGTTAGAAATCAGAAAATGGCATTCCTTCGAAGCGCCGGTGTGTGTAATTTTAACTTTTTCCCTCCTTTGGCCAGTCTTAGAGTTGTTGTTACAGTTGTACTCATGTGAGAATGAATCTTCGTTCTGATCCACAAAGGACAGTAAATGATTTATTGAATCAAGTAGTTGAACCGCCAGCTATGGAAGTAGTTTTGTAGTTTTCCAAAACCTCAACAAGTCTGGTATGAATATTATACTAGGCTTCTATCTTTGTGTATCATTGTGTAACTTTTTCTGGTTCACCACCTGCTTTTCTCCATGGAAATGTTATTGTAATGTTTCACACTATGCCATTAAACCTTTCTATTATCATGGAGACCAAATCAGGCCAAGTTACTGGTTAGATCAGCGGAGAGGCAACCCCACTCAGAATCAGGGACGGTCCAAGGCTAGGCCGACAGGTCAGCCGCGAGACAGGGTTGCCTGGGAAGTAAATCAGTGTAGGACCGCCATTGTTCAAAATTCCTGTTTTTCTTGGTATTTTTAAGCAATAAAACCACCTGTAATTGAAGACATGTAGATTGATCTGTTTAATATCTTACTATGAAACATTCAAAGCAGAGCAATGACATGTCCATAGAAACAATTTTAATTATCATTATATTGTTTTGCACAAAAGGGTAACCAAACTCAACTTAAACTCTTTGAAATGGAAATGAATAAACCCATTAAAAACAAAAAAATATCTGCTTAAACATAAGAGCATTTTTGTCATAGCCTGTTTAGCCTCACACAGGGCAGTGATGTGGCTCAGGACAGATGAAGTCAGGCAGAAGTGCTCACACATCCATCACCTGTGTTTGGAATGCCCTTGAACACAGCCCCAGTCTCCACCTGCTCCAGTGTGCCGCTGCCAATTGGTCGCATTGGGTCTGGTCCAAGTGCACATCAACTTTTTAAAAGCTCTGCAGTAAATAAGAGCGGAGTTAAGGCTACACCACTTGAATATGTTTATGTGTTATGTGTAGGTCAGAAACAACAAATTATTAGAATATTTAGAATTATAGAATATAAATCTATATTTATCTATATAAATAATTATTTAGATATCTTCTATTCCCATGACAGTGTTTTATTGAAGTTCTTAGTTTTACTATTATACCAACATAGGAGAATGGTATATTATTTTTGCCACCATCCGCTGCTTTTTCCATATTTTTGGGCAAAGACTTGCTTTCATAATCAAATATAGATGAATGTGTGGTTTGTTGCTGTGGGGTAAGAATGGACACCAAGAAATTTCTGCATTTCTTGACCTATACTGTGGCAGAAGAAGTATGATTTGGACTCGAGTTTTGGAGTTCAGCTTTCAGATTAATGTTAGCTCTGTTTTTGTTCATTAACTGTAATATTAAATATCATATTTTTGTTTTCCTTAAATAAATTAATTGTTATTGATCAAAATTAGGGTTCATGATTCATTGTTTTTCCATATCACCCAGCCTTTATTCTGTAAATATGATTAATTGGCTCACAAGAGGTTACCTTAGGAAGTGCTGCTTAGTTCTCAGAAAAGGCTCCTGATACAAAACATATTCTGGTAACAGCAGATGCACCAGATACTTACATTTCTAATCACAGACAATACTGTATATAAATGGACATGCTAACCTGCTAGCTAGCTGCCACGTTCCATATAGGAAGTGACCATGCTGGCGCTTCTGGCTCCATTTGAGCCTCATCATTTTGATCTTAAAATGTTTCTATTAACTAATTCTACATGATCCTGGTGTTTTTATTAAGCTATTTTGTTCGTAAATAAATTCCTATTCCTAATATGGAACTCTGCTCATATTCTCTCCTATAATTGCTAGACTCATGAGCTTCATTTGACTGGAGCTGAACGCTCTGGGTGACGTCACACTCCATTAGTCCACTTCTTAATGCAGTCTATGTTTCAAATGCAAAAATAAGAAGATGGAAAAAAAAAAAAAAAGTTTTCCTGAAACCATCCGCAAAAAAAACCAAAAAAAACTCACTGGTGAAATTTATTCCAACCAAATCTCTGTATGGAGAAGACACTTATCTTTTATTCAATCTTGTCAATTTTCTCTTTGCCCCAGTAGTGAATAATCGGGCTTACTGTGCAAAACAAAGAGGACAGAATGACACAAGGCTACAGCCGAGGTGACGTATTGATGGTGCAAGTACAGTTAAACACATCAGTCTAGCCCAAGGTTACCTCTCTGTCCTCTGCCTCTCTCACACACAAAAACAGGCTGCGTTCTATGGGTACATGACCTGTAAATAGGGTTGTAATAATAGCCAAACTATTGTGATATCATTGTCAGAAATTTCACAATAATATTGAATTACAAGTTTCTTTGCTTCAATTCATTGTTACAGTGCAGCAACAACTACAAAACACAGAACTACATAGACTGTGATCCTTTTCTCTGTTTCAGTCTAAGCTACATGATGAAATAACTGTTATTAAGCACTTTTAAATCTTAATTATTTGGATTATGGCAGAAAAATATTATATTCACAATTTTAAATATTGCAATTACTAACTTATTGTGAGATGCATATTGTGAAAATATTGTATCGGGAGATTTAGATATTGTTACATCCTAACCTGTAAATCAGCAACAAATGTGGCCTAATTATCTACCCCAGGATGAGTGGTTAAAATGGTGGTTGAATCAGATACATTGATGTAAATAAGGGTATCTCAGGGCAGGGGCAAGCAAAGTAGAGTTGCTAAATACGTGATTGAGGTTGCTGTTTACACATAATTGGTTAGAGAAGCCCCACGGCATGGAACTGATCAAATGTGTCTTTGTGGAGTTGGTTTGAGGTCAGGAAAAGCAGAGGTTCAAATGAGACATACAAAAAATTATAATCAATAATGCTATGTGATGTTAAATATTTTTAAGTCCAAAAGTTTATTTTTATGGCTTTAAAGTGAAAAATTGTCCAAGATGTGTTTTGTGATCAACAGGAGAAGTGGGTGTGGAAAAGTGTCTGTGTTTGAGCATAGAGTTGCATTAAACTATGAAGAACTGAATCATAATAATATCAACAGTATACTTTTTACAAGTACCAGAATACAGTTTTTATTGCCTCATATACTAGTGTTGTTGTAGCTCTGTGGTATAGTTTCAGCTTTCTGCTGCAAGATTTTGAGGACTTTGTTCCCTTCAGAAAATATACTATGTTATATATAATATATTTTAATTGTTAATTGCTATGGCAACTGTCTAATTTCTCTGGGTAGGTTGTTTCAGTAGATGGTGATCCTGTTAAAATTGGGTATCTTTGCTTCTATTGCCATATGATGTACATACTGTATACTGAATCACAATAGTAAAATCTCAGTCTAGATTCCACAGTGATAATAAAAACAACATACAAAATAATAGTTTCTTTAAAGGTCTTACATTACAGAAAATTTACACTTGTGAACTTTAAGTGTTATAATGTTGTTACCTCATCAAAAACATACCTGGAATTGTGTTTTGTTTCATTCACACACATTTGAGTAATCGAGCATTATTAGGCTCTCAACATCTCCAAAGCTCAAAATGCTGTGTACCACCTTGTGATGTCATGAAGCAGTAGCTTTCAGGTTTACAGCTACATTTTACCTTAGGTTTAGTACAGACTGGAAATTCCAAGGCTGAAATTATTCAAATTATTCTAGTGAGGGTGCATGGAGTTAAAAACACTGGTGCATTTCCTATATTACTACATGACATCACAAGATCAGAGTATTTGAGTGTTTTCAGTTTAAGAGAAGAAGTCATTCTAAATAAGCTGGGCTTGTGTGTTAAAACATGTGTCAGTGAAACAAAACACAACTCCAGGTATGTTTTTGATGAAGACACAACATTATAACATAGATCAGAAGATTAAGTAATGTGTTGCTGTTCTGTACTACTCCTGATGGATTATGACTATTCTATACAGGAATGGGACAGTATCACATATCACAAGACTGCACACATTTCACCTATCCCATCTCTTGAGAAGCTGTAGATTCAAAAAGCAGTGAGGCAATGGGGCCATGATTGTGAACAGGATTGCATCATTTATTTTAATAATTTCTTTCTTGTTGACCCAATCTCACAGGGGGGACATCTTAAGTGTGATACAACTACTCCAACGCCCATCCCTGGTACAGCGTTCTAATCTTCACATCTTGTTTGAGCAGGGAGCGCATGATGAATAGTGAAACGTATTTGGTGTCAGATGAAATGTTTCCATGGGTAATAAAAATTCATGGATTGCAACCAAAATCTCCCATTTTTCATTTGGTAGAATTAATGATAATGAACAGATGCCCTTGGAAGTGTTCTCATATAAAATTCAACACCTTAGACCACAAATTGGGTTGTTCCCTGTGAAATCAACAGTCCAGGTTAAGCTATGATAGATTGATAGAGGTCTTGAA